TAAGATGTTCAGGTGTATCAGAGCGATATCAATCCAGACATCTAAGTAGGGGTCCTGATCTGGGTGGCCAGGATTGCCGTGTATTTTCTGTTGAACCTTAAAAGCCAATTGCAAATCGAAGCTGCCTTCGGGTGGCCAATCAACCCCGAAGGTGGGCCAGTCGAGGTGACAGAATTTCTCTAAGTCAAAGGGCGTTACCATGGCCCTGTACCCAGTGGCCCGTTTCTTAAAATCTTGGACGTTATTAAGTTCGCATTGCAAAGGAGTTATAGGCGTTGATGAAGATGGACCCATAACGACAAGCGGAACCATGGACAGACACCAGCAGAGACCAACGAGGACTAAGACACAAAAGTAAAACAGATACAGATCCCGGTATGAACAGAGCTCAGGCCTGACTGATTCAAACCCGGGTCCAGGGTGACGTCTCGTCCCAGGACCAGGCTGGGGAAGTAATACTGCGTCCAGCCTTCCTTTAGCCCTCGAATGGCGCCAAACAGAACAAACCGAAGGTCTGTACTCACCGGTCACATTCAATCCAGATGGCTCATTACTTCATTCGTAGACAAATCTGTGAAGACCGTCCGGGAAGTCAAGGAGCCTGTCCGAGCACCAGGGCTGAGGACCGTCTCTCAGAGGCCTTCGGCTGGGCGGGCGGGATCCCAGCCTCCCCAGCTGGTCCGTGGTCTAGAGATTCCCAAGAAAGGGAGAATCTCGCTGGGGCCTCCAAATGTTGTGGGGCGACAGCGTCAAAGAAAGACCACTAGAGAACTGAAGCCAAATAAGATCCTTTATTAGCCGGCCGGCGTCTGATCCCAAACACCCCTGAGACAGAGTCTTCGGAACCAGCCCATATGCTTCATTATGTGCCTTTTATACCTTACAGAAAGAGGATCTTCTTGACATAATGCCCAGGGCTACAACAATGCTGTACAGAATTAGTTTGCCTTTCGGATAACAGGCACACCCAGGTATTTCAGGTATTTCAAGGTACATTGGGTCACACTTAGCCCCTAGCTGCACAAACACAACACAAGCCTAATTCCTTGAGATTGTGGGGAGGTCGAGTCTCTGACTCAAGACCTCCAGGCTCTGTGGACTCTGTCAGACACACAGCCGGCTTCCAACAATTTCTTGGTTCAGGGAGTGTTCCCATTTACTGAGGTTATTTTGATCTCTATCCTGTTGATTAAAATGTTTACAAAACAGGTTCAGCTAGAGGGCACACAGTGACTTTCCCAATCATCAATTATGGAACTATAAACAAGTCAGCACAATAATTTACCAATCATCAATTATGGGGTTATGAACATGTCAGCACAGTATCCCCCACTTTGAAAGTTTGCATTTTGCCTTTGTGTTTTTGTTTATTGAAAAAAATTTAATTAAATTAGAGTTGGCATGCATTGTATTAGTTTCAGGTGTGCAATATAGTACTTGAACATTTATACACCTGACGACATAAGCATCACAACTCATCTAGTAACCATCACACCTGCACTTTTACGAGAGACCTACCTTAACCTGTTTTCGGTAACCTTAAGACATCCAAAGAGGATTTTCACTTTCACGAGAAAAGGTGACAAGTGGAACTAGCGTGCAGTGTCTGTCTTGCGTGGGCCGTTCGAGAAGCAAGCGGGCACCCCAAGCGGTGGGAGGGACCCCGCCGAGCTCCTCCGCCTGGAACCACACCCTCCTCTCAGCATCCGGCCCGGAGCTCCGAACTTGAGTCTGTGAGTGTCTGGGCTTTATCTCCATTTATTCTGCGTTCGCTAGAAAGATGTGACCTCCAGTAATTGCTTCTTTGCTTTACCCCTTACGAAGGCTTTGATGGGAGCACGCTATTCGGGATGGTAGAGGGCACTTGCAATTCTCTGCGTCATGAGTCACTCAAAGCCAGGTTTCCCTACTGCACCGTGAGCTCCATCAATGACCCTCTCCCATACCCATGTGGCCCATGCCTCACAGTGCCTAACCCATAGTAGTTGCTCAATTAATCAATTAGTGACCGGCTTGAAGATCTGTCCCCTGCCTCTAACAGCTCACAGTCTCCATGGAGCCCATTCAGAAGGCCACTACGCAGAGACAGCCCGCCCCTGTCCGTCCGCGTGCTCCCTGGCACAGGTGTCTTCACCAGGAGAAGCGCGTTTGGAGAGGCCCGTGCGCCCCAGGAGCTCCCGGCCAGGTTTAAAGAGAAATAACTAATACAGGTGTTGACTGCTGAGGAAGAAGAGAGTCCAGGGCGGCGACCCCCTCACTCGTGTGGACGTGTGTCTGAGGACAGTGGTGTCCCACATGTGGCCCGAGGACAAAGTGACTTCGGATGTGAGCCGCAACACCACCCCAAGAACCTGATTTTCTCGGAGCTGTTTCAACAGTGCAAGCTCTGGACACGCGGTGGGGAGTCTTGAGTCTTCTTAAAGATTCTCTAAGGGGACCTTTTGCAAACCGGTGTACTCTGAGCTCTTGGTGACCACTTACCTTCCACACACCGTGCTGCCCGCCCCGCCCCAAAGCTAATGTTAGACCCCCTGCAGTTTGCCAAGGGCCCCGAACACACGTGTCAGCAGAGCCTAGTGCGTGCAGGAGGTATTGGCCTCGCCGGATGATGCAGGCTGTATCACCACCGTCATCCCTGTTCTGTGGGTGTCTGCCGGGGGGCCCAGGAAGGTTAGGAGTCCTGCCCCGGGTCACACAGCCAGAGCTGGGTGGACGGGCTGCTTTCCCTGCTACCTGCCAGTCGCTTGTCGCTCATCTCACGAGGTCCACGGTGTCTGCAAGGGATCGGGCTCATGTTGATGCTGGAACCTGGGGCACTGCCTTCCCGCAGGACCCTAGCAGGGGGCCCATGTCATCACTTCCGGTTGGGACCCAGGGAAAGGAGAACCTGTCCACAGGCCAACAGCTCTGTTATTAAGCTCTCTTGACCCATGACCCTACAGTGACCCCAACATTTGGCCTCTCCAGTATGTGGGGTGCTGGGCATGTATCCTTGGGCTCTTTGCACTGGTTGGGGGTGGGGGGCTTGTGGAAAGCCAGCCACTGAAATGTCACTGCCCAGGGGCCGAGGGCCAGGAGCTGGGAGCCAGGCCTGGTTTTCCGAACCAGCCTCCATCCAGGCTGTTGTCCCCCCAAAAAAGCTCTCAGGGGAGACCTCGGTCCTGAGCACAAAACAAAAGGGCATGAAGAGAGGAAGCTAATGAAAGGGCTTATCTCATTTATTTACTTTTCCTCCCCCGTTTCCGCTTGGGCTCCTTCAACCCAAATCCCCCTCCGCGGTTTCCCGGCCACTATCTGGCTAATAACCTCCACACTGGCATGTCAGCCCCTCTCTGCTCCCCCTAATCACTTCTCCAGGCTTGGCCAGGCTGTATTTACCGCCACACAGGATTTCCGTGGGTGATGACCCGAGCCTGGCCACTCCCCCTGTCCCTCCGCTCCTTGGGGGTGTCTACTCACAGCAAGAGTCTCAACTCCCCAGCAAAGTGAGTGCCCTCGGGGTGTCACTCACCCCCACAGCCCAGGAGCCCCTGGGGAAGCAGCACCTCCCCCTCGCGCCCCTCCCTGGTCTGTTAAGTACCTTGCCCAAAACAGGAGAACGAAAGACAAGGGGACAAGGTCCCTTTCCAAGGTGGTCCGTCACTCACCAAGCCCCAGTCTGAGGAGTGTGGGGAGGGACCTCCAGACACCTGCTGGGGCCTCCTTCACAGGTCCTGGCAATCCAGGTCCCACAGGGAGGGGGCACAGCGTCCCCTGGTGGCCGTCCTCACAGAACACGCACCCACCCCACTGATTCCCCAGCACAGGACTGTTAGAATCAGCCTCAGAATCGTACCTGCCTCACAGCTTTTTGCTGTTTTTAGCTCTGTGGTGACTGGGAACGCACATCCAGCAGATGACACAAGGCGTAAGCTCGGGAAAGTTTCCCAAAGTGGACCCCGAGGTGGTCAGTGCAAGTCAGTACCAGCTGCCCCCACACCCACCGGCTTGCCCGCCTGGCCCAGCCCGGCCTCCCAAAGCGTTGGACCGACTTCCATCCCCAAAGATTCTGCCTCGTGGGTTTACATGTAAGAAGCTGATTCCACGGACACACAGAGGAGACCTTCATTTCTCCTAATCGACAGGATCCGGGAGGCAGGGGGCTCGCTGAGGCTGATGGGGTGTTCTCCTTTATTCTCAGCTGTCGAGATGCCTACCTCCTTGACCCCGTGAGGCAGTCTAGGGAGAGAGTCCGCGTAGGGGAAACTTGCAGAGGGCAGGATGCCAGGTGTGGGGCAATGTGGAATGAGGTCAAGGAGCTGCAGCATTGAGAGGGGGTGGGGCCAGGGACACCGAGGCCTCCAGGGCACAGCTTGGCCTGCAGCCGGAGACACCTTCATATTTTGACCAAAGGGAGAGAGAAAACCCTCCGATTGCTCCTGGCGGTCTTCCTCCCGTTCTGGCCTCTTCCCACCTTTTCCCCTCCTTCTAGAAACACCTTTGTGAGCAAAGCCACACCCTCTGCCCCTTGGGTTCAAACAGGCATCGGACAACAGTAGAATGTGACCCACACATGCAACTTTTCTTTTTCTTGCGTTAAAATACACGACGCAGAGTGTGCCATTAGTGACGCAGTATATTCATTATATTGCACAACCATCACCACTGTCCGGATCCAGAATTTTATTATTATTATTATTATTATTATTAGGCTAATCCTAACCTGAGGATATTTTCTCCGTTGAGTTCTAGAGAAAGTGGAAGAGAGGGAGGGAGGGAGAGAGAGAGAGAGGGAGAGAAATCCATGTGAGACAGACACATTGATTGGCTGCCTCCTGCATGAGCCCAACTGGGGCTGCCGATCGAACCTGCAACCCAGGTACATGCCCTTGACAGGGAATCAGACCAGAAACGCTTCAGTGCATGGGCAGACCCTCTGACCACTGACCCACACCAGCCATAGATTCAGAATATTTTTATCCCCCCAGAAGGACACCTCGAGAGTCAGTCACTCTCCTTTCTCAACACCGTGGTTAGATGCCACCAAGCGGGTGATGACGCCTCAACTATGTGTGTTTCAAGGTCCGAGGACTTTCCCACCCTGGTCGAGAGGACTATTGACCTCTCTTCTTTATACAAGTCCCACAGGGGGACCTTAAACGTGCCAGCAGCCACCTTCAACACACAACAAGGAACAGATGAAATTCATTCTAACCATTTCTTTAACCCAATTTATGTAAATGTTATCATTTCAACATGTCATCGTGATAAAAAAAAAAAAAAATACTTGCTGAAGTAGCTGACACTTTTTTATTTGGACAAGTCTTTGAAAGCTGGTGTGGATTTGCACAGACAGCGTGTCAATTGGAGGACAGGTTCCAACACCCCACACGGCTACCGGCTCCCATGATGGGCAGTATGATGGGCAGTGCCGCCTTCACAGCCTGTGGAATGCACCGGTATTCTAACTCGCCTTTTCTTTTCTTTTCTTTTTTTTTTTTATCCTCACCCGAGGACATTTTTCAATATTTTGTTCAGACAGAGTGGGAGGGGGAGAGAGATGGGGAAACATTGACGTGAAAGGGATACATCGAGTGGCTGCCACCCGCACAACCAACCAGGGCCGGGGACAAACTGCAACCGAGGTACGTGCCCTTAGCGGGAACCAAACCCGGGTCTCTCTGGACCGCAGGCCGACGCTCTAACGGCTGAGCCAAACCGGCCAGGGCTTAAATCGCCTTTTCAAAAGGTGATCATTGCATACATAAACATTCTCAGGCTACAGTCTTATTTCAAATATAAATTGAGTTTCTTAATTATAAACAAGTAATGTATTTGGAGACTACAGAAAGAAACATTACCCAGAAGCGCCAACCCAAGAAAAACTATAATGACTTTTCTTTTTTTCATTTTTTTTTATCCTCACCCGAGGACATTCTTGCATTTATCTTCAGATAGAGCGGGAGGGAGAGAGGGAAGAATAGAGAGAGAGAAACATGAAATACCGACGTGAGAGAGACACACCGAGTGGCTGCCACCCACACAACCCCAGCCGGGGCCAGGGACAAACTGCAACCAAGCTACGTGCCCTTAGCGGGAACCAAACCCAGGACTCTCTGGTCCGAGGGCCGACGCTCTAACTGCTGAGCCAAACCAGCCAGGGCTATAATGACTTTTTAGCGCGTCGTACGTTATGACCTCTTTGTTCCTCTTTTCTCGTCACCGTCTGAACCATACAGAAGCATCACCCTCACTTGGAGGTGGAAGACTAGAGACCACGTGACCACTTACCAGGGAAAACCATAAAGCTTTCCTCGGGGTCATGACTGTCATTACACAGGGCCACACACATGACCTGGGTAATGAGGAAGCGGGGAACTAGTGTGTGTCTAAGATCCCTCCCAACCCAAACATCCTAGGGTGCTAGGATCCCATGCATGCCCTCCACCCGACACACACACACACACACACACACACACACACACACTGTCCAGGTCTCCCGTTTTACCTTATAGAACAGCCTACAAAGGAGTAAGTTTGCTTCCACGCAGCCTCGCAATCTCGCCGGGAAACAGCTACACAGAAGAACTTGTACTCAGCATTCACGCTCCGAAGGAAAGAAACCGAGCTAAAACCAGACTCGTTACCCAAAACTATAACGACAATTTTTTTTTTACATCCCCAGAAGCTTCACACCACAATATCCCAAGTTGGAAAAAAATGGGCTATTTCATATGTTTAGAACAGCATCTGATTTAATATTATACAGTTTTGCTTCGTCACAAACCAGAACAAATACTTTCAGATTTACGACATCCTTCTATTCGGAGACCGAAGGAATCGCAGTTAGTAACTCGGCCGTTCCACAACCCAAGCAGTTCTTTGGGCCTGAGGATTCCTGAGAGACAGGTTATTTTCGAGAAGGATTTAAGGTTTTAAAGCTCTCAATGAAGCTTGAAATTCATCTTTTCCAGCTCACATACAGCGTTCCCTCTGAAGCTTGGCTGCGAGGTGGAAGAGAGAAAAACCAGTTGGCGCACACGATCTCCTGTGGTCTTGGAGAGAGAGCGAGGCAATCACTCATCGGCTTTCCAAATCCTGACCTTGTCTCAGAAATAAGAACAAAAGGCCTGGCCGGGTAGTTCAGTGGGTTAGAGCATCGTCCCAATATGTCAAGGTTGCAGGTTCAATCTCCTATCAGGGCACATACAAGAATTAACCAACGAATTTGCTATTCCACTTATTTATGCATTCATTGTAGCTTCTTATATGTGCCCTGATGGGAGATCAAACCCACAACCTTGGCATATCAGATGACACCCTAACCAACTGAGCTACCCACCCAGGGCCTGCATTAATTCTTGCCAACTTATTGATAAGATAAATTGCTTTAACAGCATGTGGCCAGAAGTTAAAAAAAAAAAAGCCTGAGTTCTAATTCCAGCCCATCACCTCTGACCTGGGCAAGTTACTTAACCTTATCAGACCTCACTGACATGAGTTATGCAATTAGGGAAAAGTGTGATTATCATTCTGGAGCAGCTTACGAAAGGTTTTTACATCCGCCCAACCTCCCTGGATTGTCAGCAAGATCAAACAGCACGGAGTAGGTGAAGCCCTCTACAGACGACAGGGCACCATACGCATGCGCACAAGGCACACTTAGAACGTGGACACAGGTTTAGAATTGTTTCAAGTCCTGGCCAGGGCGGCTCAGTGGTTAGAGTGTCATCGTATGTAAAGAATCAGTTTGATTCCCAGTCAAGGGCACGTACCTGGGTTGCAGATTTGACCCCTGGCCCTAGTCGGGGAGCATGTGGGAGGCAACAATCAATGTGTCTTTCTCACATTGATGTTTCTCTCTACCCCTCTCCCTCCTTCCACTCTCTCTAAAAATCAATGGAAAAAATATCCTAGGGTGAGGATTTTTTTTAATCCTATTTATCCTTGGCAGGTGTGGCTCAGTTGGTTGGGTGTCATCCCATGCACCAAAAGGTTGCCGGTTCAATTCCTGGTCAGGGTACAAACCTGGGATGCAGACTTGATCCCCAATAGGGAGCGTGCAAGGGGCAGCTGATCAATGTCTAGCTCTCACATCGATGTTTCTCTCTCTCCCTCTCCCTCCCTCTCTCTCTAAAAATGAATTTAAAAATCGTTTTAAAAAGTCCTGTTTATTTTTTTTACATCAACATTTCTGTTGTATTACTGATTTTTTTTTTTTTAAATAGGCTGAAGGAAGTGGTTCAGGAATATAGAAGCAATGGATTCGTAAATTGGGTTAGTACAGTACATTGCGTCTTCAAGGCCTTTCTGTAGTCAGGAAGACAAATGTGGATCCTCTTTTATTTTCCAAATCAAATTGCTTCTAGCCACATGGACCAACATAACCTGTCAGGGGTTATGCAGTGAATTGTAAAGACACCCCAACAACGAGATGTTCTGAACTTAAATCCCCCTCAAAAATCAAATTACCAGGGAGTCCCAAGCCTGAAATGAACTCCCCTTACAGGTCCAAAGGAATTAAAAGAAGTAATTAAGGCTTGAAGTTAAATGGCCTCACCCTCAATCAAGATTCAGTTCAGAGATATTACATTTCTATGTCTCATTCTCTTTCGTCTCAGCGAGAACGCTTGATGTTCTGGGTGGGGCTGAGTTCTTGATGCCGCTGGGCAGTCTTTCCAGGAAGGGCCCTTAGAGTTGGGACTAATTCCACTCCAAGTCTCTCATGTGCCTCATTTTATTTTCTTCTTCATTATTATTTTTTAATTGTGGTCAAATACGCTTAACTTAAAATTGACCCTCTTAGACATTTTTAAGCGCACAGTTCAGTTGTGCTAAATGCATTCACACTGTTGTGCAACCCTCACATCATCCATCTCCATGGCTCTTTTCATCTTGCAAAGATCAAACTCTGTCCCCTTCAAGCAATACCTCCCATTCCCCTGTCCCCAGCCCCCGGCAGCCATGCTTCCACTTTGTCTCTGTGAATCTGACTACCCCAGGCTCCTCATATAAATGGAATTGCACAGTATTTGTCTTTTTGTGGCTGGCTTATTGCACTTAGCATCATGTCCTCAAGGTGCATCCGTACAGTAACATGTGTCACAATGCCCTCCCTTTTGAAGGCTGAGTAATATTCCATTGTGTGCATACACCACATGTTGTCTATTCATTCTTCTGTCCGTGGGCACCTGGGTGGCTCCTGCCTTTAGCTACTGTGACTAGTGCTGTTATCAACACTTTTTAAAGAGATCAAAAAGCTTAAACCTCACAGAGTATCACAGCACTGTCCTCACGCTGATACAGTTTCACGCCCGGCGACCATCAGCCACACGGAGGTTACCTGTGGCACCGTACCTGGGGGAGATGAACTCACCCCTGGAAACAGTCGGCTGTCTCAGAGAGCAGCATTTGAGACGTGACTGCCTGAAGCATATCTTCATGGTTCAGAATAAAAATACAACTAAAAAGCATCTCTTAAACAAGGATTTATATCCTGCCTGAGAAGCTTAAAATGTGACCACTGCAAACAAAGGCCAACACTCGGGGTGTGATGTAACAGAGAGGAAGACAGCGTGTTTGATCCGTCGACAGCTCACGCCCAGAACATCGCCTGCCAACACGCGGACTGCCAACCTGAATGATGCAAAACGTCAGAGACATCTGAGCAAAGGGGCCCCTCCCCCAACACTGGGGCCGGGGGGGTTGATCATTCAAATTCTGAGACGCGGCAGAACCCGAGGAAATGAGCAATACTCTGCTAAGACTTGAACTCTTTATTCTGTTTCTTTCCCAAAGCCCTGTGAGCAGAAGAGTACGGCTTTAAGAACTGAGGTTCACCCCACTGGGCATTAATGGGGTCCAGAAACTATGCGAGCAATCTTCGTCGACATCCTCAAGACGTTTATATCTGTCCAGTGTACAACCAGAGAGGGGAACGTTCATGTTCTCAGTCTTCTGACTGCAGGTATGCAAGGTCTCTGAGCCCCACAAAAAGCTCCAAATATATTCTTTAGAACTTCAACGGCCTTAAAATATAGGCTTTCATTTATCTTGGCCACATTAACGAGATCTGTTTGACCAATACATTTATATTTATGATGACTAAGGGCAGATTATGGTTGTTAAAATTTGTCCCTGGGACATGAAAACACTCCTCTGTCACTAATACATTTTGTAATATAAACTATGATGTCAGGTCAACGTAAAGGGTAAAAACGTTCTGAAAGTATGCACACATCATTTTTTAAAGCAATTGAGCCTAATGGAATAACAAAGGTCATCATAACAAACCATTACAGCCTTGGTCTTGGCAACTCTAGCCACAGAAGAATCTCCAAGAAACCATCATCATTCCTCCAATGTTATGGCATCCAGACGACAGGAATGGTTTGCAAGTGAGTCATGCGGGCTCAGATCCTCAGTAGCTCTGTGAGCGCCGGACAATCAATTATTCATGTGTTTACAAAGAGCTTTCCTGGTTGATGTTAACCAGAGCTGCTTGCAGAGAAGAGTTCCCCAGCTGTCCTCGCCGTCCTGGGCCTCCAACTAACGAGCCGCTTTCATTGCTAGACCGGTCATCTGGAAGACGCCCTTCCCCTAGACCAAGCGAATGCAACCTCTCCGAGACTTTCCTCGGTGTGAAAACAGTCATCGGACATAATGATGCAGCAGTACTTCATTGACAGCACCCCCCGCAAATCCCAAAAACAGAGATTCACGTTAGACTTGACGCAGGCTCCACCAGGACTGACGTCGGGACTTGAAGACACAGGTCAAAGATTGGTGGAGGGTAGAGAGAAGGGAATGGAGGGAGGAAGTCGGGGGCTGTGGGCTTCTGAAAGAGCTAGGAAAAGAGAAAGTCTAGAATGTTCTGTGAAGGTAAGAGAGCATGACTGAGGACCACCAAGGGTGATTACATTAGGTTGGTCAATAGCCAAGCGTGAATGAACTTGACCCACCCATCAGCCTGGGAAGAAGTTGGATGGGAAGTCATTCCTCAGCCCCTTCTGTTACTTGGTACAACCTACAGCCTGTCCAGGAAGACTAATAATGTGATTGAGGCCACTCCTTCTGAGCTGGGGAAGAGCATGGGACCGGGTGGTCCCACCAGGCCCCTGTCAGCGGTGTTTGAGGGAGAGCAGGATCCCAGGCAGAGCTGTGGCAGGGCCTCCTCTGAAGACAGAGCAGTCAGTGCTGACGCCGAGATCCCTTCAGTTGAAAAAACAAACAAACAAACGAAAAACAACACATTTTTATTATCCCAATCCCCAAAGTATCCATGGTGCTGAGCCAGTCTTCCGCTTGCTTGAAATGGGGTGACTCGAGATGCCAATGTAACCCCCTCGTCCATTTCCAAGAACATGGTGGCAGCAAACTGTCTGTTCTTGCTGCCAGGAGGTTACAGGATCTCAAGCGCATGTTTCCGTCGGGTCAGGCCCTGGGCTGGTTCCGCTTAACGTGGTGGGAGGCAACCCGACTGGGGAGAGGTTGCCACAGAAGGTAAGGTTAGCAGACAGGAAGATGGTGCCCCACCTGGCCAGGCCAGGCCACATTCTGCGCCCCCTCACCCTCATCCACCCGTCCATCTGTGATGCAGGTTTGGAAAATGAGCCCAGAGAAAGACGTGTCTCCCCTAGACCCATAATAGGAGGGCTGTCTGAGACACCCTTTCCACATCTCCTTGAACCTTGGAAGCCCTAGCCCCGTCCTTCCACGGGGAGAAGACACGAGGAAGTGTCCCAAGAGACACCGTGTCCACGTGCCAGGTCCTCTGAGCTTCTTCAGCCCTCCCAAGGGCACACCCCTCCTGCGAACACCGAACCCCGACTCCCTGGCTTCGCTCCCTGGAGATCAAGGCAGCTTCTCAAAGGGGAAGCAACAGAACAGCCTGGGGGGCGGGGATGATGCAACAGAATTCTCCCCCGCAGCATCCAGAGCCCCCAGCTGCTGGCCTGGAAGGGAGTGAGACCCCCCAGGACTTCCCAAAGCCCCGGCCCACGGAGTTCTCTCAGGAGCATCCCTCCGGGCCCACTCCCAGGGCTGCGTGGACCGGTTAAACTGAGGGAGGCGCCGTGGCGGACCACGGCATCGCACCCCGATCACACCCACCGCGGAGGCCTGGTCCGAGAGCCACTGAAATCTGTCGCGCTCTCGGAGTTCTGGGGCACCTGCCCGGCACCCCTGGCACTGGACGGCTTCTCAAAGTCACACCTGGCTAGTCAAGCCCCCCAGCTCCCAGCCACAGTTTCACCAAACTGGCGGTCTTCCCCCCCACACAGCTCTGCACCCTCCCCCCAATCCCTAGGGTGGAAGGGGGAGGGGTGGTCCCCACTGCAGCCACCTGCCCTTGCGTTTATCTCCTGGTTGTGAGCTTCTAACTTTTTCTGAAAAGCCCCCCAGCAGACCACCCGGAGCCCCCCACAGTCCTTCAAGATGTCCAGCTCTGGCTGAGGACCTCGGCTGTGACTGCAGCCTGGGGTCACCACCCAGAACCAAGCACCCAGCAGGCTGGAGGTTCAGGCCTCGTCGGTCACCACGGCAGCTGCAAGACCTTTCCCGGGGCTGGGGCGGTCTAGACCCCCGATCCTGTATTTCACGCGGAACTGTGTGCAGATGCTCAGTATCCAGAATCAACAAGACATCGGCCCGCCTTTCGCATCGCCCAACTCACGAGGCACGAGTGGATGCCTTCGAATTTCACTGGCAGGAAGCGTGGCAGCTACGCGGAGGCTTTAGACGTCGTCGGAACCTGTTTCTTCCCATCAGAATCTTCCTCACGCTCTGAGGAACGGAGGAAGACTCCCCCCAGAATGAGAATGAGGGGGTGTCTGGGTACCCCCACCTATGTGAGGGTTACCCTGCAATGCGGAGGATGACGGGGTCCGTGTGCAATGTGCCTTTAAAGATTGGGTTACTGGGGGAATGGAGTACTCTTTGGAAGGGTTAGAAAATCACGTCCAGCCCTGGCCAGTTTGGCTCAGCAGTTAGAGCGTCGGCCTGTGGTCCAGAGAGATCGGGTTCGGTTCCCGCTAAGGGCATGTGCCTCGGTTGCTGCTTGTCCCCGGTCCTGGTTGGTCGTGCGGGTGGCAGCCACTCAATGTGTCCCTTTCACATCGATGTTTCTCTCTCTCTCTGTTCCTCTCTCTCCCTCCCACTCTACCTGAACAAAAAATGGAAAAATGTCCTCGGGTGAGGAAAAAAAAAAGGAAAAAAGAAATTCACCTCGAAGGCACTAGCTTGCCACCGATTGCAAACCCCTGAGCACAGCCCGCAAACCAACCTTGAGTTTCTCATTGGTCCCCAGCCGCTGGCTGGCTACTCTCAGACCTGCACATGGCTTCTTCCCGTCAGTAGTGTTATCTGCTGAAGTCTAATTTTTGCCTCAATCTATCTATAATTTCAACACAGAGTGGATTTATTGGGGAGGGTGATGGGCCAGGCTATTTGATTATTTTAATTCTTCACCTCATATCAAGTGTGGAGAAAACACATTGCGGTAACTCACCAGCCAGGCATACACACGGGCATCTGTTTATTTGTGACTTGACCTCAGAGCTAGGCTTGATTCCAACGATTTCTGACCCCTGCTCTAAAACCAATGAAAAATGCACAGCTTTTGGCAAAAAAGCATGTTTACTGGACAGTCCTTTGAAAATGAGTGTTCGCCTGGGGATGCTGTGTGTACACAAACCTATTTGTGAGAGACTCAGCCCGGAACTACTGCCTATGCCCATTCAGTTCAGAAGGCTTTCGAAGCCCGCCACAGTGCCAGTAAGTCAGTAAGCTCTGAAACTGGTCAAAGTTGCCTCCTTTTATTTACATTTTTGATACTTTTTTTTCATGATTTCATCAGCGTCCTAATATAACCAAAGGACAAAATGTTGACGACACGGGACTTCATCAGACTTGACTTACATCAGCTCATCAGCAGAAAACTCAGACACTGGTTTTTTAATGAACCGCCCTACATTCTCCTTTCCTCCTGCGAAAGGTCTTCAGTGGTTTATGTGGAATCACACAATCCCGTTTCTCCTCACCTGTGGACTTCCAAAGTCCCTCACCCCGAACTTGAAGAGGAACACCCAGCCATGAGTTGATGGGACCAGCAAGGGTTCAGGAGGACTCTGTGACAGCACAGCCACCCTTGCAGAAAGTCATCTGACTCCTGCAGAGAAGCAGAAAACACCTGGACGATACCCAACTACCTTTAATAAAAAACTACGGTGGAAAACCCACCCACCCACCTACAGGTACGTTTTCAGTCTTTTCAACAGCATGGGCTGAGCTGCCCTTCAATGCCACTAGATGGCGCCACCTCCTTTCAAGAAAGTTCCTTTGTGCTCTTAGAAAGAGGGGTGCCAACCTTGACTTTCTGGACAACATCAGACAGCATCTCAGGTAACATCAAAGTGAGGGTCTCCCTCTCTCTAGTGCTGCTCTTGGCTCGGATGTCAGGAGAAGTTTTGGACCATGAATGGAATAGATCGGATATTGTTTCAGGGCGGGGCCATTGTTGATCTTGTTCTCCCGCGTTTCATTTCTCATCAGACGTGGCAACAATGTTGCGCTCGTGAGTTGGTTTTCCAGCCAGATGTCCCTGCTGTCGCCCAGCCCAGAGGTGCTGTGTGCTGTGTTCCATTCATCAAACCCTGCAGAGCAACCAGGGCAGATCCCATAAGACCAAAGGTTCTTCAGTGTTTTCTGAAGGTCACGATCTTTCTGCCCTTCCCAAAGCTCACCCGGGGCTTGAGAAAAGCGAAGCGATATTCCAGTTTTAGCTATTTCATTTCCATCGCATGCCTTATGCGTGTGGTCATAAAACCTTCCAGAACATTCCTCCCATGTGCCTGCTCCTGCTCTTTCTCTGATGAGATGGTGGCGTTAGCGCTCCAGGTAGATGGATAGAGGAGGAGGAGAAAGCATTATTCCACCATCAGAGTTAAACACGGAGTCTTCAGAATCCTGTCCTTCCCGTGACCCCCTGGAGTCCCGCTGGGTCATGGAGCCTCCATTTCTCTGCTTTGAGCACCAGGCCACTAGAAGCAGCGAGATGCAAGGAAGTTCAATCAAGGGAAGACTTGGAGATCGCAGAGCTAAAACAATTCGGAGACGTCAGTTCCAGAACATTGTACCTCGAGTGTTGGCGTTTCTGAGGACGCGCATCTGACGCTCCAGGGCCTGCGATCCCTTTACTGGCTCAGCAGGTACACGGCGTCTCCCACTTTGATTGTCCCTGGGTTTTCCAGAACAAAATACTGTCCAAAGAGAGGCGATTTCCCATGTAATTTTCGTTCCGAGGGGTTACCCAGGCGGTAACTACAGTAGGAGAGAGATCGTGATGAGTGACAGCCACACAGAAGCAATCGGTGTCCTCTCAGCAGGGGTAAGAACCCACCCGCCGCCATGCCGCCCAGCTCCAGGGGGCACCATTCCCATCCCAGTCTAACAGGACAGAGCATCGGGGTGCACAGGCTGCGGAAGGGCACACCCCCATCTTCTCTCCGTGCGATGTTTGTTCCCTGGACTTGACATCTTTACACACGTTATCACCTGGAGCCCACCCTTCTTCCTTTGTCCTGGCTTTGCACGGCCTGTCCATGGTTGCTAAGTCCCGAGGTTCTCCTGCACCCCACCATTTGAATTTGCTCCCTTTTCTCCCACAATCGCAGGCTTGCTTCAAGCATGCGCAGACTATGGTACGAACCTCCTACCCGGCCTCTCTTCCTCCTTCTCCCTCCCCCTCGCTTCCAATTCATCGTTGACACTACACTGTACTGCTTTCATAATTGTGCTCTGGGCTGACCATTCCCAGGCTCAGAAACGTTCAATAGCTAAAGACGAACAGTCCAACTCTTCAGCTTGGGTTTCTTCTTGCTGCCAGGCTCTGGAGTCTGGGCTCTGATGCTCCCAGGAGGGAACTGAGAGTCAGACTTCTGTGTATCACACCACGACAGTGTATAAAGAACATCACATATTACCTCTTATCTTTACAACAAGCCTACACGGAAATTAGTACCATTTCACAGGTGGGTCTCAGAGCTAAGTAGCCAGGCTGGGGCCAGAACCCAGGGCTGGCTGACTCTATAGCTGGGACTCTTCCCGCCAGGGATGGGACCCCTGGGCATCCAAAGACTTCCTGAGGGCTCGCATTGGCCTGGGGAGAACCGAGATGGGTAATATTTGCTCATCTACACAAAGGTGTAGTCACTCAGGGGTTTCACCTGGCCCTGTTCATCAACCATGTGCATCACAGTCACTCCCCACCAGGGCACTTTGGAGTGGGGGACCCAAACAAGCCCTTTAGGCTGCCCGGGGTGCGGGAGGGGGTTGGTTTGTACAAGCACAGCTTTGGTAACCTGATTCACAGGTGACGGTCCATTGCACTGTCTTGGACTAGAAGTGGAAGCACTGTGGGAGTGGAGAAGTGGCTCTGGGTGGCCCCGCTTGCCCTGGCTTCCCTAGGTACCCTCTGGCCCTGCCCATGCTCCCCAGTTTTTGCCCCTCCTCCAGCTCCAGCAAATACCACCCCTGCTGGGCTGTGGGCAGGAAGCCTCCATAAATGAGATCAGCGGCGCCCTCTGGTGGGCAAGAGGCGGTATTGTAAGTGGTTATGAAGTCCTGTGCACACCAAGCTTTGTTCCAATGAACAGTATTGTCCCCTACACAGATCTTCAATATAAATAGATTTGAAATTAGAGATCAGTGAATACGAAACATACTACTCTAATGAGCAGGAGGGTCAGACCTTCTGTTGAGCTTAGACAGAGGTCCCCACACATCGAGGGCGTCCTGAGTGGAAGCTATGCACCAGGTGGACTGCTCATTACCCGCTCTGCCTGGTTCGCTCATTAACTGGTCAGTGCCCCAGCCATGACTAGGCAGGGTCTCTGGTCACTGCTGGGTCCGCATGCAGGGTCACAGGCCACTTCTGAGGCCTCGCCAGCACTGCCTGCAGGGCCGGGGGAAGACCGACCCAGGCTGTGGAAGGTCCGCAGAGGGGAGGGTCAGGCTGAGCTGGCTGGCTGCGTGCCGGGAGGCCTCAGAGCTAAGGGGTGTGTTCAGTCTTCTCCTTCTCCCGGGGGGTCAAGTTCTTCAGTACCCACAGGCTACATGGTCACGGTGCACAATATTTTATCACCCATTTTTTTTAAAAATTGTATTTACTGCCTTATTCGGATCAACTAGGAGAGGTATTAATGAGTCCGGTTTTTGCAAATAAAGAAACCGAGACTTGCCCTGGCCGGTTGGGCTCAGCGGTTAGAGCGTCGGCCTGCAGACCAGAGAGTCCCGGGTTCGGTTCCCACTAAGGGCACGTACCTCGGTTGCGGTTTGTCCCCGGCCCCGGTTGGGGTCGTGTGGGTGGCAGCCAGCTGATGTGTGTGTGGCGACCAGTCGATGTGTCTCTCTCACGTCGATGATTTTCTCTCTCTTCCTCCCTCTCTCCCTCCCGCACTATCTGAAGATAAATGCAAAAAAAGTGTCTTCAGGTGAGGATAAAAAAAAAAGAAACCGAGACTTGGAGACCCGACGGGACTTGTCGACATCACTCAAGGAGCAGGGGGTGAGCCGGTGGGGGTGGGGTGCATCACCATCACATGTCCTCCCGCCTCGGGCTCGGCACAGCGAGCCTAACACAGGGGCCAGCGCCCAGTGTCCCCACTGCCACGTGATTCATCTATCCAACAAAACCGTGGCATCCACGAAGCGAACATGCTTCCTCCTTCCTGTTAGATGTAAGACATTTGGGAAGCAGGAAGGATAATCTCCCACCGCTCTGTAGGCCATGGGGCTCAGCATGGAAGTCTCTGCCCCCTAAGAAGGACAAGACGAACCCCATCCTCCTGTTTTCCTGCCGGCACATGGACGGGCCTCCCCTGGGCCTCCCACCCGAACACACAAAGGCTGAGCCTCCGGCCTGTGGGTGACAGGCATCAGCAGGCAAAGCCAGCAGCGCTGCTTCCTGCTGGGAACCTGCATTTGGGACAACACAGGACACAAGAGGGCATGCGCGTGGCTCCCAGCATCCTGCCCCCGAGCCCGGGGGTGTTCTGGACACCAGTTTGCTTCGCTTCCCATGATTTATGTCCCGGGGCCGGGCCCTCCTCTGCTGATTTACGACCACCTGTCCAGGGGAGAACATAAATTACCTCCTCTATGGCAATTTAAATCTCAGTGCGAGATAGGAGAAGACACCTAGGCTGGCTGCTCTGTCTCCTGGGGGCTTAGGGGCAATCAGGGGGGACTGCGGGGCCGCCAAAAGTCTGCAGAATTTCAGGAGAGCCATGCCGGTCCCCGTGACCCCTGCCTGCCTGCCCTCGCTCTGTGTTTGGGATCAATTATCCTCTATAAACACAGGCTCCCAATGGAAGGGGGGCTGGACAGTCAGAGAAATGGCTCGAACACATGGAGTGCTCTCAGGAGGCCATGCCTGGCACAGCAGGCCCTTTCTGCACCCACAGGGGAGGGTGCCACGTGCCACGCGATACGCTGGTGGCAGAGAGATCCAGACATATGGACAAGGACAGCGGTCAATCCCCCAGTAGCTCGGCTGGTTTGATACAGAGCCCAGCTCTGCCCTGCCCTGCTCATGTCCTGGTTAACACTGGAGCCGGAGCGAGAGGGGGACCCGCTGGGGACCCATCAGTCGTGTGCAGCAGAGCCAGGGTTCCTGGCAGGGAGGGGCCAGATAGTGGCTTCTGGGGTAACAGGATCGGCAGAGAGGGTCGGTGCCAACCAAAGGAAAGTGAACTGTGGGCCCAAAAGGGCCATAGGCTCAGCAAGAGATCGGAGGGCAGGGGAGACAGCGGGACTCACATTCCAGGGGTGAGTCTGGCCCCACAAACCCCAAGTAGGACTTCCCCTCACGTGCTCTGTCACAGCGGCATTGATGCCAGATGGTCTCACGGCCACTCATTCCTTCCCCAGGTCTTCCAGGGTGTCGACCCAAGCCCACGTCACCTCCCTCCATGCCTTCCCCTCATGCTCGACAAGGGACACCCGGGACACAGCCAGGGTCCAGGCCAAGCGATGAGCCCGGCACCCCACCTGCACTCAGTGTGGGAGGGGCCAAGGAAGACGAGCATCGTTAGTGCCCTTCCAGCATCTCCTCCCAGCTGACGGACACCAGCATGGGGCGCGTGGTCCAGCACCCTCAGCAGAAGGGACGCAGGGGGCGCAGCCAACTCAGAGGCGACATATGAAAGGTACATATATTCTTGTCTCATAATTCTGTTACCCAAAGACCAGCCCCATTTGCACTTTGGTGTGTAGACTTCTACCCTGTCATCTACCTGTGTGCATTTAGATAGTTTCAAAAGTAAAAATCAAACAAAAAAGTAAATGCCATAGATGCTCTTTTGCACTAGCTTTTAGAAGTAAACATTATCCTAACTTTCTAGGCATTAAACTTTTTGTCTGTAATTGCTCCTTTCACTTACAATTTTTTACTATGAAAATTTTAAAGGAAACATACAAGCTAAAAGAATAGAGCAATGAATCCCACAGTTATCATCCAGATTCTGTTTATCAAGATGTTGACACATTTTTTTTCCCGGGCCCTTTTCTTTAAAGTTTTGCTAAAATAATCTAGAACACATCCCAGACATCTTGTCGCTTCCCCTACATACGTTAACACTCTTCTTCAAAACACGGACATTGCATGCTTCTTGACAATGTCATTATCACACCTTTTAACATTTATTAGGTGTGATAATGGCGTTGTCGAGATGCATGCAATGTTAGATGTGATAATCCTCAATCCGAAACATCATTGGCTAAGATATCTAACCAATGTATTTTTTTAAATTGGTTTGTTTGCATCTTGACTTCTCCATGAAACATAGACTCGTATGTGCAAGCAAGCCTTCTGAGACCAGGACACCCAGGACTGTCGCCCAGATTCTTAGTCACTCAGACCCCTCGGCTTCTTCCCAGAGACATGGAGTGACCCCTTCCTACCTCTTCAGGGTATCCAGCGGCTCCTTCCTGCTCATGACGCCGGTGTCCGGGTCCACTGTGGTTAAAATGCACCTGCACCGACCCACAGACCCACAGACAGTCACAGAGGAGACAGGGTGACCTTGTCCCGCCGCTCCTGCTCCCGGCGCGGTGACGGAAGTGCCTTACCTGGAACAAGCCATCACCCTCTTCAGCTCCACATCACCAATAAGAAGCTCGTTCCACAAATCCTAGGGGACAGAACACAAAATTCACATGAGCACCCCGGAGCCCTCGCCCAGACTTGTCACTCACATCAAAGATGGCAGACCAAATTTACATCAGTCCTGAGAGGTCCCGCTCCCCCCTGTCCCCTCTCTCTGCCTTCGATGTGTCAGTTCATTCGCTTACAAGGAAATGCTCCCTCTCCCCTCACTTGTCAAACTGTGAGACTGAAGCTCACCTCCTCCAGTGAAGCCTTCCTGACTGACCCTGCTGGGCTCGAGGGGGCGGAGAAATAAAGGGTCCGAGGAGAAATAAAGGGTCCGAGGGAGGAGCAGGAGGGTTCTGGAGAGATTGTGTCACATGGCTTTATGCTGGGCACCTTGGTTTAGAGCAGCCCCAGCCTGTACTGTGTGCATTTCTCCACCAGGGGACACTGTCGTCACTAAAAAAAAAAAACCCATAAAAGATCCAAAAGAAAAGGAATGAGTTCCAGTTAGGGAACTAACATAAGAAATATTTCCAGAGCCTCTTTTATGTGCCACAGACACTGTTAGAAATTGATTCGTAGATAAATTAGGTAAAAATTCCACCATGTAAGGAAAGAATCTATTGGCGAAGGGGAAGAAAAGGAGGAACTATTGTAGGTCCAGTGAACACTGTGGACCCAGAACTATAAACACTATAAACAGCTTATGAATGTCTTCCTACCAGAACACAGCACCTGGTGGTAAGAAATGTAAACAGCACAAGGGGGGCGTGAGAGGGGCATTGGGGAGCGAGGCAGCCCTTCTGGGTCTGGTGATGGGAAACAGCTTTTCAGAGGAGGTCGCCTGTGATCTGGGCTTTTAAAGAAGGCCAGTGGATTCTAGGTGGAGCAAGGGGCAAGATTCGGGGTGACGAGCAGGGAGTGAGCCTTGCAGATATGTGAGAGAAGGTATGCCAGGCAGAGGCACCAGCAAGTGCAAAGGTCCTGGGGTGGGAAGGAGGCCAGTACGGCTGGAGCAGAGGGAGAGAGAGAAAAGGAGAGTGACTATGGAGCCCTGGAGCTAGTGGGGTGCAGGGCCTTGAGAGTATCAGAAAGATCCCACTTGTACCTTGAAGAGAGATGGGAAATCATGAGGGGGGTTGACTAGGAGAATGACAAGGACGTGACTTACAGGCTTACTATGAGCGCTGCACTGAGAATAGATGATGCATGATGGTGGGGTTGGTGAGGGTAGAAGCAGAGCAGCGATGAGAGGCCATTGCAATAAACCGTATGATAGAGGATGCTGACATGGCCCAGGGGGCAGAGGAGCAGAATGGGAAGAGGACAAAGCCTCCAAGATTTGACCATCATTTGAATGCGGGAAGTGAGAGAAAGATTAGAAAATGGGGGGGGGGCCAGTTTGGGGCCTGAGCAAGTACATGGAAGTCGGTACATGGCAGCTGGAGCTGCTATACAGAGATGGGCAAGACGGCCGGCCGAGCAGGTGCTGGAGTAGAAGTTCAGCCTCGGTCTCGGACATCCTGAAATCGACATGGCATCCACATGGCTCTACGGAGAAAGCGGTAAGGATAGTCCTTAGGGGGTCCTCAGGGTGGAGAAGGTTCTGAAGAACAGACCGAAAGCATGAGTATAGACAGAGATGGCTACAGACTGAATGTGTCCTCCCCAAATTCTAAGCCTCCAGCAGCCGCGGTGCCGACGCCAGTCTTCCCCACGGGGGCGGCACAGAGAAGCCATCTTCAACCAGACAGGGGCACACCCTGTCCCTGTCCCCTGCTTCACACCCTCATGTGCTCTCTGCTCAGGAAATCTGGCTCCAAAACTCATCTGCTTCCTGGGAAATCTCCCGAGAAGCCTCAGGCAGGGACCACACACTTAAAAAAAAAAAAAAGTTAAATGCAAGGGCAGGGCAAGAACGCACGATGTCACCTCTGCGTAGACGCCACACCCAGAAATCACAATGTTGGGCCTGAAGTTAGCCGCTTTAACTTGCTTCTCCAGCCTGGTGTTGAGATCGGCCAGCGAAGCCTCAGACAGGACCAGGAGCGGGCTGACATCCGAGTAAGCGATCTGCCGAGGAGACGGAAACCGGCGGTACGCAAGGCACGCGAAGGATTTCTCAGCGGTCCCATGGGCCTAGTTCTCGGAACCCTCCCCACACCCTCCCCCAGTCTTTCTAGTTCTTTTTATAAAAAAGTAACAGGGATTCCTAAAGTGCAGACAGCCTTGCCGGTAACAGGAATCATACGATGGAGTGAAGAGGGCATGACCTTGGGACCCTGGAGCTGCAGTGAGTGACCTTGGAGAAAATCACTCCGCCCTTTTAAGTGTCTAGTTTGTCCCATGTTGGGCAAGGTGCTCGGGCTCAATGGCCTCACTATGTGTGAATAAAAACGTGTTCGCTGCTTCCACACATACTTATTTTTTTATACAACCTGCACATCGGCAGTACGGACTTTGCAGACTGCGATTTTGTAATGGCCCTAGGAACTGAACTGCACAGCATTGTGCTCCCTGCTGTTACGATGCATCCATGCAGCCTTGTTCCTGGAAGGGCCAGTCTGGTCACTTTAAGTGTGGGGATCGCCAGACCCTCACCCATTTGCTCCACTGTGATCTGACCCCAACTGCAGTCGCACTGTTAAAACGCCAGACTCAGGCAGCGACAGAATAGGGTGGAAAAGGTACTACCACGGAACAGTTCTGAAACCCTAACAGCTCCAGCAAGCTTTTGTGAATAGCAAGGTGGATGCTCATGGCCAAAAGTGCAAGAGTCTGCCCCAGTCAGGAATCACAGGTGATGCTCCCAAGGGAAAGGCTGTGGTTTTGCCTATTGCTGTGGCCGGGGACCACCTGGAAAAAGCCCAGAGCTGAGCTCAGCGACATGAGCCCGGCCAGAGGGGCTGGAGATGAACAGCTCTCAGCTCCCAAGGAAGCCTGCCTCCCATAGCCTTCCGCAGCACACCCCAAAGGCCAAAGCCAAGGGGAGCTCCTCTGACCTGCTCTGTGGGCCGGAACACGTCCTTTAGTTGGTGGGGCCTCCTCGGTTGCATGTGAGGCTCGAAATGCACCAGGCGGTAGGGCTGGGTCTTCAGGAAGCTGGTGATCCACTGGGCTGCAGCCTCGCCACAGTCCCTGCCCTCGATCTCCAGACCATGCACTCTGCAGGGGACGCAGGGGCTAGGAATGGGCATGGCCTTGCGGATCGGGGCACTCTACCATACCCTACCTGTATCAGAAAAGCTGCACCAAACTGAGGTCACTGTCATTTCTTAATGATCAGGAGACATAAGTTTAGCCTGTCCCTGCCTCTCTGAATATGCAGTTTTCCCAAAACTATTTATGGAAGAGACTACCCTTTCCCCATTGATTATTCTTGGCTCTCTCATCAAATATTAGTCAACTATCGAGGCGTGGCTTGTTTCTGGGCTCTTGATTCTGTTCCATTGATCTATTGTCTATTTTTATGCCAGTCCTGTTTTGATTATTATAGCTTTGTACGATAGTTTGAAGTCAGGAAGTGCAATGCCTCCAGCTTTGTTCTTTTTTTCTCAGGATTGCTTTATTTGGGGTCTTTTGTGTTTCTATGCACATTTTCAGATTGTATTCTTCTATTTCTGTAAAAAATGCCATTGGAATTTTGATAGGGACTGCATTGAATCTGTAGATGGCTTTGGGCAGTGTGGGCATTTTAACAATATTAATTCCTCCAATCCATGAACATGGACTATCTTTTCATTTATGTGTGTCTTCTTCAACGTCTTTCATCAGTATCTTACAGTTTTCAGTGCACAGATTTTTCACCTCACTGGTTACATTTATTTCTAAGTATTATATTGTTTCTGATACTACTGTGGATGGGATGGTGTTATTATTTTTTTTTTTTTTCAGCTTTTTGCAGCTAATGTTTAGAAACACAACTGATTTCTGTATGTTGATTTGTTAAATCCTGCAACTTCACTGAATTTGTTGACTAGTTCTCACAGTTTCTTAGTGGAGTCTTTAGGATTTTCTGAATATAAGGCCCCTTTGTCTGTGGGCTGAAGGTACAGCTCCTGGACTGTGCTGTAAAGGAAACCCGACTCCAACAGGTCCTTGACATCCTTGCCCTAAGAGTCTCAGCATTTCTCACTTTGCAATTTCCAAACACGTTCTTGTTTAGTCATTGGGGCATGGACCAAAGCCTGCGTGGGGTCACGCAAAAAGTTTCCACACCACTGCAAAAGGATTAAAAATCAAATGAAAAAAATTTTTCACCGCAAAAAAGTATGAGTAAATGTGTAACCGGGGCAGGCAAACAGGAAGCAGGGTATGGACACACAAATACAAATTGCAACCGACATATTAAAAATGCAAATTAAATCAACAAGAAATCCCCATTTTCCCCATGCAAATGGCAAAGTATTTTTGAACATCAGGGTCAGAATGTAATTAGAGAGATATGCCCAATAAATTGTTCGTAACTATATAGCTGGTATAGCCATTTGCAAAAACAATTTAGCAGCATATATTAAAGAGTCGATAGGATCCATATTTTTATTTCTATCAAAACCACTGCGAAATCTTTTCTTCTAAGAAAATAATAGATATGAACAAAGATATATGGCAAGATATTTATCACACTCTTCTTCATACCTCAAAAAAATTTTAAAACAATTCAAATATTTAAATGTGGGGACAGCAAATGTATAGAGAACACTCATAGAAGAAAATAGTGCCAACATGAAAAATGGTATTTTTTGAAGATTTTTTAATAATATGAGAAAATAGTTAACATATCAATTTAATTTTAACTATTATTTTAGATGGGTTTTGTTTTTCTTTTCTTTTACTTTTTTTTTGTATTTTCCAATTTTTCAACTATGAATACATATTTGTTTTATAATCAGAAAAAAAACCACCAAATTACACTAGAAGCCTATGACTATGTTTAAAACTCCAGGATATTATATACATTATATTAGCATTGCATTTTATGAACTTTTGGGGGTCTTCAGACATTTCACAGCTAAATACATTTTTTGAGGGGATACATTCTACCATAGGTTTCGGATTGCATTTAGCATTCTAATAATTCAAAATGCAGAAACTGGGACAAAAGTACAATTATACAAATTTTCAGTTTCCCGTTAGAGGATAAAAAACCATCTCTAGACATGATTCCTTAGAAGCAACCCCAGTTCTCCGGGAATCACTGCTTCCTGTCGCCCCTCTGATGTTGGGGGAGAGGACCTCCTGGCTGAACCTCACGCTCCTGGGACGTGGACCCCAGGGGACTGCAGGTCAGATCACCTGTTTCTATTTTGGAACCTGTTTTTATTAAACTTAGTACCACGGGTCACACAGCCATTTGTGACTCCTAACTCATGTTTGGAAGGTTCCCAGTCTTTCCAGGGAGAGTTTGCAAGTCCTAAGGTCGTACATACACTTAGCCTCACCTCTCCCAGGACACTGTCCAGTCGGTTTGACCCCCTTTTGGTTCTTTAGCCTTTGCTGGTGTTATCAGTCCCTTGTTGACATGTCAACATGCTTTTGTCCAGGGGGGTTTCTAACAGGACTTTCGTGTCTGCCAACTAGCTGCTTCCTTGTTCCTCCTTCGGGATGCTGAGGGCTCGCCCCCACATCTGGTGCATCTGCAATCGCCCCCACATCTGGTGCATCTGCAATCGATGGTTCATTACTGACCACCTTTGCCAGGACTCCTTCCATGATTGGAACTTTCTCGAGACACTCATGCCAGGGCTAAGAAGAGCCTTTTCCTTACCTGCACTTGAACACTGCATTCGTGGTGGGCGTCTTGATGGGCAGCGACAGGTCCTTCATGCAGGTTGCGCTGAGAGTCAGGGACTCCCCCCCACAGGTCAGGGAAATCAGGACCAGGCGGGGTTCCTGGCGAGCAGTGACCATGTTCCCCGTCTCATCGACCACCAGCCAAAACCTGCCGTTTTCAGAACACGTGATATGCCCGGGCCACCGCAACAGGCTGCCGGTCTGCAGGTCCCTTAATCACTCACTGTCACCTCTGAATTCCCCCCAAGAGCCTGCTGTGTGTGTGACTGTGTGTGTGTCTCCGGAACATCAGCTCAGCCGCCCAGCAAGACTGAGTCTTTCAGTTCGTGTCAAAGGCTCTCATCACCACCCAAACATCCGACATAATTTCTACAAAACATTTTGAGCTCCCTGATGGCACAGAAATCAGAGATGCAAATTTTATTTTCATCTCAAATGAAAGTCTGATCACTTCCGTTCCACCTGCCCCAAGGAGATGACAATAACGTATTTCCCGGGAAGATTTCCAGGGTCTGCAGTCCTGACACGCAGTAGGCACCGGGCTCCTGCCGGTGGAGACACCGCTGCTGTATTGATCATGGATGGAGCTTGGGGTTCACTTGACCACATTCAACGCCACATACACTTTGCCAAATCCACCCTCCCCTTTTAGAAAAAGTAATGCTTCTGTATTCAGAACTGTGAATTCTGCAATTTACGGAAAGGTCCATTGTTAATATGGACAATATTATTTCTGGCCGGTACTCCTGGTCTAGAGGTACTTCCCAGAAAAGAAGGAGGAGGAAGAGGGGAAGAAGGAGGAGGAGATGGAGGGGGAGGAAGGACAGGAAGAAATAAGAGCAATAGAAAGAACTGTTTACACACACACACACACACACAATAAAATTGTGTAGGTTGCCTCTCAGCTACTAAGCTGAACATATTGATGTTCTGGTCATTTCAATCCACACTGGATTGGATGATTACCATTGCACACATGAGCTTGTGCTGAGGATCTAGACACAGGGGAGATACGGCAGGTGCTCTGCATCATCGCCTCCAGCGGTCCTCGGGGTGAGCTGGGCAGCTACGCTCGAAGGAGGAGGTCAACGGAGCCCTTTCCTGAACTACCTTTACCAGCCCTGCATCCTGGACGTGGCCAGAGGTCTGCCCTGTGCTGAACCCTTGGGATCAGCACGTGAATATTCTTCCTAGTAATTCTCCCTGGTAATAGCGGTAGTCTGATCTTTCCAATATACAAACTTGATCGTGTCACCCCTCATGCAAAGTCCCTCCGGGGTTTCCACTTTCAAGAGAAAACCCTAACTCTGCAGTAAGGCACGCACTGTGACCTCCCCGCACCACCACCACCCCCCACGCGAGCCTTTCTTTTTTTTTCTGTTTTGATGGCAGTGTAATATACACAACATCAAATACCTGGCAGACTCTCAGGTATGTACCCAAATGAACTGAAACCAGGGACCCCAACAGAGCCTGGCCACAGCAGCATCATTCGCAGGACCGGGTGGTGGGAACAACCCAAGTGTCCATCCATAAAGAATCTTTTTTTTTAATGTGATTTTAACCATTTTTAAGTGCACGGCTCAGGGGCATTCAGGACATTCACAGTGTTGTGCAACCACCACTTCTATCGATTTCCAAGACCTTTGCATCATCTCAAACAGAAACTCTGTACCCATGAAGCAATAACTCCCCTTCACCCTCTCCCCAGCCCCTGGTAACCTGCAACCCATCTCTATGAATTTGCCCATTCTAGATACTCATCCAAGTGGATTCCTGGGATATTTTTCTTGTGTCTGGCTTACTTCACAGCATAATGTTTTCAAGATGTACCTATACCACGGTGCGTGCCAGAATGTCCTTCTTGTTTTGGCCAAATCATATTCCACTGTGTGTTACACCACGGGCTGGTCACCCATTGTTCTGATGACGTGCAGTTGGGTGGATTCCGCCTTCTGCCAGTGCGAATGATGCTAGGAACACTGCTGTACACGTATTCACTGAAGCCCGTTTTCAGTCGCTTTTGGTAAATACCTAAGCGTACGCAGCCTGTCCCCACCACACCTGTCCTTTCGAGCCCAGGGTCTTTCTCCGGCTTATTCCCTTTCTCTAGATGTTCGTCTCCCATCTAACTTGCCTGGAAAGTTCATAATCATTTTAAAATGTCAGTTCAGCTATGAGGTCTCTCACCACCCCAAGCAGTTTCTGGTGCTCCTCTCTCTGTACTTCCTGACACTCGTCACATGGAGTCCATGGTCACATAGAACTTCAGCCTTTGTTTGCATCTCTGGGTCACATTTCCTGGTGGCATGGCAATACAAAACGTACCATGGCCCAAGTGGTGTGGCTTAGTGGTTGAGCATCAACCCCTGCACCAAGAGGTCGCCGGTTCGATTCCCGATCAGGGCACATGCCCAGGTTGTGAGCCCGATCCCCAGTGGGGGGCGTGCAGGAGGCGGCCAGTCGATGTTCTCTCTCATGGATGTTTCTATCTTTCTCCCTCTCCCTTCCTCTCTCTCTAAAATTAATAAAGAAAGATATATATTTTTAAACGTACCATGGTGTCTGATACAAAGGCCAGCTCATTATTTATTATCCATTGTAATATGAGCCCAATACTTTTTTTTAATTGATATAGTTAAATGACAACGCCCTTTGCCTCTGAGCCTACAGAATCACATGCCACCTTCCTTCAGGTCTGACCTGGAAACCATGGCATAGGGCTCTTGGCTCCCCTCCTGAAGCAAAGACACACCGCTCACCGTTCAAAGGCGTCATGAGCTGGCCTGTCTGGGGAGCTGGAGGACATGTTGCAGCCCTGGCCTGGGTGCGACCCACAGAAGCCGTGAGGTGGACCTAAGGGGAAGGAGGGTGAGAGGCGGCCTTGCAGTGAGGCCTGGGGAGAGCCCGGGCCAGACCCAAGGAAGGACAAAGCCACTTGCTCTGGGCCTGTGTGACCTTCTCTGAAGCCCAGGAATTCACACAGATCGTCCTACCCAGGCAGCGCATGGGTACAGCCACTGGTTCTACACAGCAGCAGAGCCATGGAGAGAAACGGGGGGGGGGGTGGGGGGGGCGCTTTCCACTGCAGTGTGGTTCTGAAACTGTGTCTGACTCCCTAAAAGCGAGCTGGAGAGAGCTGGGGAGAATAATCCACGCAACTGCACTTTTATTTATCCTCACCCAGGACATTTTTCCATTTTTTTGTTCAGATAGAGTGAGAGGGAGAGAGAGGAAGAGAGAGAGAGAAACATTGACATGAAAGAGACACATCGAGTGGCTGCCACCCACAGGACCAACCAGGGCCGGGACAAACTGCAACCGAGGTACATGCCCTTAGCGGGAACCAAACCCGGGTCTCTCTGGACCACAGGCCGACGCTCCAAACGCTGAGCCAAACCGGCCAGGGCAATGCAACAGCACTTTTTAAGCTGCAAGAAACTTAAGCTTCAACTGCTGTCCCTTTGATCCGATGCTGCTGGGACTGGCAGCACTTTGAGGGATGGGCTCCCCAGGGGCTCCCCAGGGGCTCCCGGTGGCCCAAGTTCTGGAGAGACAGTGAGTAACCTTAGAGAAGCCAGACCGATCCTGGCTCACTGCCTCGGCTAGAGGGAGGCTCAAGAAGTTTGCTGGAGCGCTGGCGACAGATGCCACACCCCATCGGGTGCAAGAAGTGAGCGCGCCCTTGGAGGTGGAATGACAGCCACCCTGGGAAAGCAGGTGGGGATCTGGGGTGTGCTGCTAAGAGGTGAGGTAACCTTCTTTCTCCTTGTCCCACCCAGCTCCGGTTTCCTGGAAGGATCTGGGAGCTGACTCTGCAGACTTCCCCGCCCCGCCCACCCCACCCCACCCCCACCCCGCCCAGCCCACTCCAAGGAGCTTGTACCTGTCCCGCAGGTGGCCGCTGCGCAGCCCCAAGGCCGTGCACTCGGCCTGGCTCACCGACACCCCCTTGCAGGACTTGACCGGGTAGATGCAGAGCTCGGCCACGGTGCCCACCTGCTGCAGCCGCCGGCGCCGCCTGGGCCTTGCGCGGCGCCAGAGGACCGTCCCCAGCGCCACCGCGGCCAGGCCCGCCGCGGCCACCCCCAGCCAGGCGGGTCTGGGCCGCTCGGGGAGGCGCAGCGAGGGGACACCGAGGCGGTTCCACGCAGAGGAGGCCGCCGCGCCCATGGCCCAGGGGTTGAGTGCGGAGCTGGGCTGGGTCACCCGGCTGGGTGGGGGAGGGGTGGCGGGGGTGGCGCAACCCTTGGCCAGGAGCCCAGGCGGCAGCTCGGGGCCTATGGGAGCGTGTCCTTGGGAGAGGTGGGCTGGGGCGCTCAGCTTCCTGTGTTCCCAGCCCCCGCTTCCTCCCCCATGTGTCCCCCGCTGACACTAACGCTGTAAGTGACCAGGTGACTGACGTACTTGTGGGCTGTTTATTTAACCTCGATAGACAAAAGAGAAAATGTGCAAGACGAAGCGTGATTTCTTGTTAGAAACCAGGCAGCGGGCAGATCCCAGTCTTGGGGAGGGTGGGGAGCAGGTGGCACAGTGCCCTGCACAGCGTCCAGCTGTCCCCCGCCACCCTCCCCCTTGCCTCCAGGGCTGAGGCCGCTCGCGGCCGGGCAACTTGGGAAAGAGATTAATCTGTGCTATTCATTTTCCAACCTCAGGGAGATCCAGGAACTGTGTTCAGAGTATGCAGATCAGCGCTGCTGCAGCTACTGGGGTGTATCCATGAGCTCACGTCTCCCAGGAATGAGCTGGAAGAAGGGTCTTGGGTCAGTCTAGGCTCCCCACCCCCAAAATGTTGACTGCTGGGTGCCCTGGGAGGTGGGGAGGCTAGAACACATGACAACACATCTCTGAACAAAGCAGTACTTTGGGCTCTATATTTCCCAAAGGAAGGACAGCTCAGAGACATTACACTTCGTGGCTTTCTGTTTCTCTCTCTAATTTCTCTTCAGAAATTTAAAGAGGGAATTTTGCTTCCCTATGTTCATGGTTGACGTTAAGGTTAGCATGATTTTTCAATTTCATCCTTTCCAAAATTTACCCAGGGATAACCAGGTGAACATCCTTCCCTCGTGGGGGAAGGGAGTTCATTTCAGTCCCAGAACCCAGCCCAAGAACACAGAGAAGGGGAGCTGCTCCTCACTGGCCACTGGGAAGCCACCTCCCAGTCACCCCCGTGAGCCTTCAGATGGGCTCTGTGTTGTCCCTGACGTCCCGTCCCCACCACGGGCAGGAGGTCATATTTGTGGAGTCTGTGCCTCTGGTAGGCCGTCAGAAAGGGTGAATGACAGTGACCGAAATCCCAATATAAAATGAGAAAGCCCTGGAAAGACGCACAAACCCCCAAGAAAAAGTACGACGGAGAGTCACATTTATTAACATTAAAGAAACTACAAAATTATAAGTGGGTTAATTCAGTCCCATATTACTTCCGGGAGAATTTTTCTATAGTCCTCCCAAAAGAGTTCATTTCTCTTTGTCCCCCCCCCCCCCAATTATTTGCACCTAAAATATATGTGCAGCCTCCCTTCTTCCCACTCCAGCTCTCAAAAGTCCATCATTTTCTTCATCATGCCCGGGCCTTCCAGGCGCTGTATTTGGCAGTTAAACCCAATTAGTTTTATGTGGCTTAATAGAGGCATCATCGAATGTAAGGTCTATAAAATAACTGCCATTCTCAAGTACAACCCGATTCCAAGACAGCCGGGTCCATAAGGCTCAATCGCCACGTGAACACCGACGGACAGAATTTTGTGGGTTCATCTCCAAAGGCACTTCGGGGAGCCTGGTGGTATGTCGCCGAAAACACGGAATGGTAGGTGACAGAATGTAAACGCGTCAAGGAGGTTCTGCAGCTTTTGAGCAGAGTCTCTATACTTTCTTAACGCATCAGTATTAATGTCAGAAGTATCATTGCCACAGCAACCTTTGAAATCATTTTCTAGGTCATTTTATTGATTTAAAATGTCTTCCTCGCCAAAAATCTGCATAACCTTTCTATTCCCGAATCACCTCAAATACTTCCCTTGCATGAACTTGGAGCAGGCGTAACTCCGAAAAGTCAAAAACAGAGATTCATTTCCAGGGTGAAGATGATCAGTCAGAGTCTGGGTGCTAAGGATTGGCCAAGGTGCTGTAATTATTGTCGTTAAAATCCTGGTTGATGTCTCCTGGTCGTTGACGACTGAATAAACAATAAGAATCTCTGATTATTTGCTTATTTCTCCTACCAGTCATACATAATTCAAATACCCACAAAACAGTCGCTTACAGAAATGCAGGAAATATAAAATATGTCTTTGCACCAAATTAATGGAATAAAGGCCGTTGTAAGACTAAGTCACACACCCAGTTCTGTCAACAGCCCAGAGCAAGGGATCTCTCTCACGTGACATGTGGGGGTGCATGTGGAAAGAACCCTTCTGAAAGCAATTGGTCGAGATGCTAAAAAATATCCCTCTACCCCATGACTCAATAATTCCTCTTTAAGAATCGAATTTACAGAAACACACTTCATTCCTCCGTGCCCTGCATCCAAACACACGCACTACAATGTTATTTGTAACAAAACTGGATACAGTCCAAGTGTCAAATACTGTAAAATGGCGTGTTTAAAGCGTCCTATTTCTACAGTGTCGTGTGTACACAGTGACGGAGTTGGGGTTTTTGGTTATGCGGGTCACAGATTGCCAATCGAAGTTTCTCTCCCTTTTGCTCAGGGAGGGGCAAAGCCGGCCTCAGCGTTATGACCACTGTGGCATCTAAGACCAGGCGCCACCCGGAGTAGTTGCTGGAAATGATGCCAATAAAAATCATCGCTGACACCCGCTGACGACTTCCTTTGTTTTGGTGGCAGTGCTGCAACTTTATATGAATGAACCCTCTAAAAGTAATGTGCGTTAGTTGTTTTGGGGAGTGCTCTCATTACCCCCACTTTGCTGATGAGGGCACTGGGGTTTAAAGCGACAAGGCTGCTGCTGGGATTATGAACCCAAGGCCACCTAATGCGAGATGCCAACTGTCTGGACCACTGTCCTACGGCGTCCACAGGACGGTCAGGTGAGAGGCTGAGGTAGGCCACAGTGAGAGCGAAGAATGGTCCAGAGTGTGGACATTCGGTAACTTTAAGAACTGGGTTGTGGGTTCTAAGAGAAGAATGACTTAAAAACCCCCATTCGAAGTCTTCACACTGACTTGCCTATCCGTTGGGAGTCAGGCACGATGCTCCAGGGGCTGGGACATCCAGGGGAGAGTGTTATTTTCTCCTTTATGATGCAGAATCCAGGCACCCGGATGCACTGCCTTTTCCCAAGTTTTAAATCCCCTCTTTAAATGCATTTGATGCAAAGCATTTACCGTTTCTCCCCCAAGTTGGTTCTGAATAATTGCATTATTTTCCCTGTGCTCCTCTGTCAGAGACAGAAAGAAATAAGTATGCCACTCTTGAGGGTCGCACACCATTATGTTTGTGTTCCTGAATAATATTTCTCAGTGAGCTGGGCAGAGCCCCGACTTTCTGCAGCAGCTCCAACAGCAGCGTTTTATAATGGAATGGGGGAGCGGAGGGGGAAGGCTGGGTGGACAATACAGATGGCTGAGGGATGGAAAATAAGGGGAATTTTCCAGGTGCAAAGACCAGAACAAATGCTGCTCACCCCCCGCCCCCAACAGTTCAAGCAGCAAAACCTAAAAACACCCCAAGGCAAGAAAACGGGACAGCGACCTCAAGGCATGGCCTTTCTGGAGCGAAGCTGGCCCTTCACCATGTCACTCACCCTCATGGGTCCGTCACTGCACCATCTGATACACGGGGTCACCAACTTTCAAGCTTCCAATTTTTTCCACCGAATAATAGATCCCAAAAAGGGGGGACGCCTTGTATATTGGCTTCTCTTCAGGGCTACACAAGCGGTAACTGCAAGAAGCCAAAACGCATCCTCAGGCACAAGAAGGAAGAATCATCAAAGTGCGTTCGACAGGATTCAAGCTTTCTCCCCAGGTTATCAATAAATAGCCAAACATTAGTCAAACTGCAAATCATTCTGGGGTGTGTGTGTGTGTGTGTGTGTGTGTTCTAGAAGTATCCTGAGAGTCTGAACAATCTTTCCATGGCTTCAGTTTGAGACCAAAAAGAAAAATTCAAAACACTTTTATATGTTATTTAAATACTTAGGTTACACATGTGCCTTCAATTTCACAGTTCATTGAAACAAATGCTCGTATAATTGAAAGGGAAAAAATGAACCGTGCTGCATCTTAAAATGCAAAACGAAAGAACTGTAAATCTGAACACCAAGAAATGACCTCTCTTCTCATCTAAATGCATTAGAAACCAACCACAAAACAGACGAGAGGGAAAGAACACAGAACATAGCTCCCCTAAAATGTTAACTCTGCCTTAAAAACACATTTTACACGGAGAACTCAAGTCAGCCCAAAATCTTAAGTAACCAGACAAAACGAACGTGAACACCCTGGCATGGGAGATGTCCTTGGATACACAAACTCTGCCAACTCATCACCGTCGGTTTTTCCTAATATTTCATGATCCAACTTCACTTATTCTCTTAGTCCTGGATATTGACTCTCATAAAGGCAGCTCAGTTGCCATGAGAACAAAGTATTTGAGGTCTTCATTTGGAAAAAACACATGTCAATGTTATTAAAAATTGATCTCAGAGACAGGAAAAGTGCAGAACATACTATTATGCAGTTAAAATTTTGTCAAAAGCACTAGAAGATGCGGCCAGAGAAAAAGAGAAGCAACCACTCACATGAACCGACAAACACAGATCAACCAGAAGGCAGAGTGGCCGGTGCCCAGACGGAGTACCTCCAACCACAGGTAGTTTTCGGTGGGGATAATATATATATATTTTTTTTATCCTCACCCGAGGACATTTTTTCATTTTTTGTTCAGGTAGAGTGGGAGAGGAAGAGAGAGAGAGAGAGGAACATCGATATGAAAGGGACACATCGAGTGGCTGCCACCCGCACAACCGACAGGGGCCGGGGACAAACTGCAACCAAGGTACGTGCCCTTAGCGGGAACCGAACCCGGGTCTCTCAGGATCGCAGGTCGACGCTCTAACCGCTGAGCCAAACCGGCCAGGGCGGTGGGGATAATATTAAAAATACACTAGACGTGTCCTCTACCTCTTCAGGGTCTCCAGGGGCTCCTTCCTGTCTATCACTCCGGTATCTGGGTCCACCGTGGTCATAATGCACCTGCATTGCGGAACCAAAGGTTAAGTGATGATTAAGAACCAGAGGGCGTGCCACGCCCCAGAGGCCAAGTCCCGCGAGAGTCCTTACCTGGGGCAAGCCAAAACCTTTTTCATTTCTGTGCTGCCAATTAGGATTTCGTCCCAGGAGTCCTAGGAGGAGAGGAGACATGACCGGTTGAACTGAGGCTGGCCCGGGCTTGGAAGGTTTATTCTCTGGCTGGTGCCAGCTCGCGAGATGGCAGAAGAAAGCCGAGCAAGATGCCAAGAAACCGTCCCAAAGGACGCAAAGGTGGGCACCGTGCTGGTGAGTCCAGGCTCCGCCTCCTGACTCCCAGAAACCTGACCCTGGGCAGGAAGAAGGGACCTTCTCCGGGGGGCCGTCACCGTGAGAACCATCAATGAACTCAAAGGTGAATCAGTGGGTCTACCATGAAAAATGCGTGGCCTGCAAGACAAGCCCACTCTCTCCTCACAGCTCAGCCACAAGGAAGCCAAGTTAAACTTGGACATTTTCCTTTTTTTTAAATATGTATTTTTCCCTTTATTGACTTTAGAGAGAGAGAGAGAAACAGCGATAAGAGAGCATCAACTGGCCTCCTGCATGCCCCCCACTGGGGATCGGGCCCACAACCTGGGCATGTGCCCTGACCGGGAATCGAACCAGTGACCTCTTGGTGCAGGGGTTGACACTCAACCACTGAGCCACACCAGCCGGACTGGACATTTTCTTGATGAGTGGGGTATTCCCCAAGGGAAGCCACATTCAACACTTCTGCCTCCTCACACAGACAGCCTGACCCTGGGTCCTGCCCTTCCTGTCTATTTCTTATTAGAAACAGACTGTCCTTCTTCTTCCAGACGCAGAGACCTGTCCCCTGACCCCAGAGTGAGAGGGGACCCAGTGCAGTTTCGCTATGTGACCTGGCAGTGGCTTAAAGGAGGCAGAGTTGTGTAGACAGCTTAGGTTCACGGACTTCTGACCAGCCTCTGGGGTGAGCAGCGCCCCCCTGAGGCCAGCGAGGTGATGGAGGCAGCAATGAATGAAGACCGGAGGAGGTTAAGGTGCCTGGGAAGGAGTTTCCGGCACTGCCAACCCTGGCCGGTCTGAGCTGGCACTGGCTAACGGAAACAGCAGCTCCGTTAGTGCCTCGAATAGCACGTCTGAGCCTAATACACAAGAGCCGTGAGCCGCGTACCTCCTCAAAAGCACCACAGCCTGTCACCACGATATTCGGCCTGAATTGGTCCATTTTCACTTTCTTCTCCAGCCTGGTATTCAGATCTGCCAGGGAGGCTTCCGAGAGGATCAGGATTGGGCTGCAGTCCGGGTAGGCCACCTGTGTCAGGAACAGAGCCCCATCAGGCCCCCCTGCCCCATGAAATCCCACAGGCCAGCTGCAAAGCTAAGCAACGTCTAGACACAAAACCACCTGTGCGGAAGGCAACAGGTGATGCTTCAGGCTTGGAAATGGTCACATCAGCTCTAGGCTTAGAGGTCCCCCCCACACACTGAGGGCAGCAGCCAGGCTGAGTGCCAACCTCACCCAGCAGACCCCACTTTCTTGTCGCTCACTCCGGCACCCAACAGGGGATCCCCCTCCCACAGCATCGCCATCAAACAGGGAAGGGACGGCAGCCAATCAGCTCTCCTCTAGCAAGGATTTCTTTCGGCTGCCACCATTCACTCATTCAGTGAGCACCTCGTCATCGTGGGCATTGTTCGAGGTGGGGAAAGGACAACACAGATAAAGCATCAAGCATTCAGGGCTTGTCCCCAGGGAGTCTGGGGGAGACTGTAACCCTTATCTCCCTGCAGAATCAAAGGCACAGAGAGGTCCCCGGGAGGAGGTGCCTCCTCAGCCCCTGAGCTCCCTTCCTGCGCTGGCTGTGAAGTGCTTGGGCAAAGCCGGCGCCTGCAATGTCAGGAAACCCGACCTAGTCCCACACAAACCTCTCTTTCACCTCCCCAACCCGTCTCCTCCCCGGTTCCCATCTCCTGGGAGTCGCTCCTGGCTTCTCCTTGCACAGCTATCACCCACCTTCCACCCTCCTTGCACCCCACTTCCTCTCCAGCCCCAACACCTCCCCAGGAGGCGCCCTTCACACCACTCACCTGGGCCAGGACTACACATTCCTGCCTGGGGACCCCAGAAAGGCTCTGTGTGGGCCAGTAGGGAGCAGGACGAGAAGGGTGACCGGTGGGGGAAGGGCAGCTCACCTGGTAATTCTGTACAAACGACGGGAAGATTTTCCTCGATGCCCTTCCCTTCATGTTCTTTTCGAACTGAACCAGCCTGTAGGCTTCTGTTTTCAAAAAGTTGGTGAACCACTGAGCTGCTTCGTCGCCACAGTCCCTGCCCTTAATGTCAAGACCAAAAAGCCTGGAAGGGTGACAAGAAAAACCAGGGCTACTTCCTGCATCGGCCGGTTCTGGGGCAGTAGGTTGGGTTGGAGCCTGAGACTCTGCATCCCTAACAACTTTGCCTAAGCTGCTGGCCCATGGACCACACTTTGAGGAGCAAGGACTTAGGACGGTGTCAGAAGGGGAGAAGGATGCAGCTCGAGAGGGGCAGACACATCCTGAGCTGGGAGCCCGCAGCCAGTCACTGAAGTCCTCTGTACAGTACGTACCCCACACGGTGGGCCGACTTCATCAAATATCAGAATGGTCTTCAAAGTTATTTGGCTTGAGTACCCTAAAATAATTTTTTAAAGCTATGTATCCATCCATTTTAAGTTGTCATGGAAATTTTTATAAGTTTAATTTGTTGCAAAACATAGAATTGCCATCAAAATGTAAACACTAACATTCAAAATAAAATGATAGTAAAGTATATTATGCATGAATATTTAAATATAGAAAAAATACATCAAAATAAGATGAGATCATGCTTTTAAAAGTGTGCAATGAGCCCTGGCCGGTTTGGCTCAGCGGTTAGAGCGTCGGCCTGCGGTACAGAGAGACCCGGGTTCGGTTCCCGCTAAGGGCATGTACCTCGGTTGCAGTTTGTCCCCGGCCCTGGTTGGTCGTGCGGGTGGCAGCCACTCGATGTGTCCCTTCACATCGATGTTTCTCTCTCTCTCTCTCCTTCCCGCTCTGTCTGAACAAAAAATGCAAAAATGTCCTCGGGTGAGGATAAAAAAATAAATAAATAAAAGTGTGCAATGAAATCTGAATGCCATGGCAAATGTTTTTTTATCCTGACCCAAGGACATGTTTGCATTTATCTTCAGATATAGCCAGAGGGAGGGGGGGACGAAGAGAGAGAGAGAGAAACATCGACAAACTGCAACCGAGGTAAAAGCGGTAACCGAACTCAGGTCTCTCTGGTCCGCAGGTCGACGCTTTAACCACTAAGCCAAACAGGCCAGGGCAATACCATGGCAATTTTTAAAATACATGATTAAGGTCTTCTATGGTCCACATAGACAACCAATCCAATAAAAACGGCTTAGGAATTCAGGCCACGCTAGTCACAGCAGGTCTGTCTGACCAGCTGCAGGGGTGTGGGGGTGCTGACTGAGTCCCCTGTGCCGATCCAGATCACAGCCCCCAGGGCGGGTTTCTCCACACTCCCGGGGTTCTCTCTGCCCACGTCATCCAGAAACGCAAGTGATGTTTGAACAAAATCATATAAGGATGGGTTTTACTTTAGTGCCTTTTTGAGACCTGTAGGGGGATTTGCGTCGCCCCAGAGTTCTGCTTGCTTAGTGAGGTAGAGCCATAGGGGACAACTTGTTTGGTGGCGAGTGAGTCTCCCAGGCAACTCCCGTAGCTGCCACTCAGCACCTGCCAACTGAACCTTGACCCGTGGGCTTCGAACGCCCTCGATCAAGCTGAGCTGGCGATGGATTTTCTCGTCACTGGATTCTTTGCGCGAACCTGTAACGCATGGAAAAGCTTTCGTCCTTCCTGTGCGTGGGCATTCAGAGCAAACGCCTAGGAGCAGGGGGGTCCAAATCCCAGCCCTGCCTCACCCGAAGGGGTCCAAGCTGGGGTTCCCCTGTCTGGAAAGGGGAATCATATGCACCTCACAAGCTTGCCGAGGTAAGTCACTGAAGTGCTGTATTCAATGAATTACTGCTCCAGGGTTTTCAAATCTCGGAGACAGATGTCTGCTCAGACACGTTGCTTGTGCAAAGCAGATTGGGTGCACTGTCCTCTGAGCCTGGAGATCTTTGGACAACACTAATCTCCCCAAGCGGAGATGCTCAGGTGGCGACAAGGGACCCAGAGCATCCCGCGACAAGTGGCTCAGCCTCTAGGATGTCTGGATAGCACAGGAGAGAGCCTGGCGGCCACGGAACTGGACAGCCCTGCAGGGTTCCGGGCTGAAAGGAAACCCGGGTGAAGCTTGTCTCTGGCCAGAGGTGGAAATTCTCCTATCTGACTCCTGCTGGGGGTGCCTCAGCCTCCGTCCCAGACGTCAGAGGCTGCAGAGTCCCCTGAGGTGCAGCTGCTAACGGCTCCACTAACGCCCTCGTCTGCCAGGCTGGAGGGCTGGCGAGTCCGCGGAAGCCCACTCCACTGGAATAAAGAGACAAACCCTCAAGATCGGCTCTTGGCACTCCCCCTCTGTTTGCATTCATCAAGCTTTCTGACCTTCTGTAGTTTTGATGCTTGGCCGTCTCAGGGCCTTGCTGAGTCTAATGAGGGCGCCCCTCCCAGGGCTAGTCCGTTCCTAGAGAGAGCAAACCACTAGGCTTTCACACACATGCCAACCAATCCAGCCCCAGCCCCAGCCCCCTCCTCTGTTGCTCTTTTACAGTCCACCCCTCCCTCAGCACCCAAGGCCAGGTACCAGACACCCAGGGCACCCTACGGCCCCGAGCCCACAGAAACGATTCACACCAGCCAACCCTACGCCTTTATCCTGCCTCGCAGACCTTCCTTTGGAAACCACAGTAAAGGCCCCCACTCATAGGTTCTTGTACCTCTGCCTCCCGGCCAACCCTGGAGCTTCCCCGAGTGGCCCTGCACCGCATGGACCCCGTTCCTAGGGATCTGTGAATATAAAGCACGGCTTTCTTTGTGACAGTCACTCCCGTGTCTGCACGTCTCAGCACAATCCCGGGTATCCTTAAAGCAACACTGTATCCTCGACTCACACCTGACCACCTGCGGATCCCAAGCCAGGCTAGACTCCTTGTAACTGTTTCCCTCCCCAGTCTGAGTCCTACTGGACAGACTGCAGCAGGACGGCGGGTGGGGAGGAGGCTCCGGGAACCCAGGCCCGTCGCAGGTCCCCGAGGCCCCAAGCAGAGTACCTGCAGTTGTGGATCGTGTTGGAGGAAGGCAGCCTGCACGGCAGCACCAGCTGGCCCGCACCCGGAGCCCGGAAGACCAGGCAGTCGTCCTCATAGGTGATGGACACCAGGACAAGGCGAGGCTCCTGCCGGGCGGTGACCATGTGTCCATCTTCCTTAATCACCAGCCAGAACCTGCCGAGAAAAGCAGGCACGCTCAGGAAATCCCCTTCCGCCTCGACAGCTCCCCTCCAGCTCTCTGGTTCATCACAACCCCACCTCAACTCAGCAGCAAGTGTTTTCCAGACACTTACTCAGGTCGGGCCAGATTCTTTGAGCCCAGACAAAAGGTTGGTGGCCCCAACAAGGTGCTCGTTTGGCAGAAATAGCTCTGGGAGAGTCTGGCCAGCACATGAAGGTGCCCAGCTCTGAAAATCCAGAGAATGAGGCCAGTTTAGGGAGCTTTTCTCGCTGCTTGGACGACTGTGTTGCTTATTTGGGGTCTCTGCTCCGATCAGAAACTTCCCTGAGCTTGTTGAACATGCCTCTGAGGCCCAAGTTGAAGTGAAATGTCTTCTGGGTCTATCGAGTGTGCAGCCAGATGGGGTTGAACAAAACACTGGCCACGTGACCTGAAACCCCAAACAAAGGTCCCGTAACGTCCGTGACTGCAAGAGAAGGCCAACTGGCCTCTATTTTGTTTAATGGCATGCAGATCGAGAGAACCCTGGCCTGGTGCGGCTCAGGGGACTGAGAGGTCCCAGTCCAGCTCCCCGTCAGGCTCGATCCCCAGTAGGGGGCGTGCAGGAGGCAGCCGATGGATGTTTCTCTCTCACATTGATGTTTCTTTCTCTTTTTCCTTCTCTCTCTAAAACTCACTTTAAAAAGAGAGAGAGAGAGAACCCTGAACAACCCTGGTCTTGGTACACACATTCTGACTCAGAGAAGAAAGACTCATGAAAATCAAGTGTTGCCGAGAACTCCACCCTCTGCCTGCAAAGCCCACTGGCCAAGCTTGGTGTTCACACTCTGCATGTCACTCACATCCATGGGGACACGGGGCGAGCTGAAGAACGGGGAGGGGGGCTGACCTGGGTAGGTCAATTATGCTTTTATCTGTAGCAGAGCAAATATTTGGGGTTACACTATACAAATGAATTGATTACTTAAAAAAAAAAAAAAAAAAAAAGGTGTACTACCCTAGGGAAAATAAGTTTCAATGCCCCTGTTTCTGACAGAGCAAAGAATTGGCAGACAGGTGTGTGGGACAGGCACTGATGAGTGAGCAGCCACTGGGAGCTAAGGCTTTTTAACCCTAACCCTAACCCTAATCCCTAATCCTGACCCTAACCCTGACCCTGACCCTGACCCCAGCCCTAGCCCTGACCCTAGCCCTAACTCTAGCCCTGACCCTGACCCTAACCCTAGCCCTGACCCTAGCCCTAACCCTAGCCCTGACCCTGACCCTAACCCTAGCCCTGACCCTGACCCTAGCCCTGACCCTAACCCTGACCCTAACCCTAGCCCTGACCCTAGCCCTAGCCCTGACCCTGACCCTAGCCCTGACCCTGACCCTAGCTAGCCCTAGCCCTGACCCTGACCCTAACCCTAGCCCTGACCCTGACCCTAGCCCTGACCCTAACCCTAGCCCTGACCCTAGCCCTAGCCCTGACCCTGACCCTGACCCTAACCCTAGCCCTGACCCTGACCCCAGCCCTAGCCCTGACCCTGACCCTAACCCTAGCCCTGACCCTGACCCCAGCCCTAGCCCTGACCCTGACCCTAGCCCTGACCCTGACCCTGACCCCAGCCCTAACCCTGACCCTGACCCCAGCCCTGACCCTAACCCTGACCCTAAGCCTAACGAGGGCCAGTTCCTCCAATGAAGACATTTCCAGATATGGCCAGAGCTGGGTGGGAGGGTCGGAGATGACCTGGTGAGGACATCTCATATCAGAGAGCACATCTCTGCCCGCACCGGACCCTGCTGGTGGGCTCACCTCTGCAACCTTCCAATCAGGCAGCCTCCCTGCCCAGGTGCTGGCTAAACGGTCCCTTCCTACAACCAAGCAGCAGACTCCGGTTGGCACCTATGCCCTACTAACTGGCACGTGTGTGGGTGGCAGGGTATAGCCCTGGGGAGACGACAGCACAAAGACATTTCAGGAACTGTCTTGGCTACCCCCTTTCCGAGAACTGGTGATGCCGGGCAGTGGCAGGTCCCCGCCCTTGGGGACAGCCACCTTTGTCTTTCCAGATGTCGTTGGCTCCCAGGGTTCTCTGGCCGCTCTCCTGTGGGGCAACCCCAGGAACTCCTGCCTCCTGTGTCTCAGCCTCTTCCCTCGGGGCTGCCCCCAGTTCCCTATTTCCAGCCGTACCCTTGGAAGCAGAGTTCTGGGTGACCCTGCTGTGGCTAACCCCACCGAAGCCTGCACCTGAACTTCTAACATGCTCTGTCCCCAGACGGGACCCCCTCTGGGATCTGCACATGACCAGACACGTGTCCACACGGGGCCACAGTCCAGCTGGCACACGATTTCTGACAGGCAGTCCCTCCTTGAGCAGGGTCTTCGGATGTCCCATCCATCCCCCACGTTCAGCCCTTCACTCTGGCTCCCAGCCCCCAACCCGGCTCCAGCCTGTGTGTGATCACATGGGAGTCGGCCCCTGGGAGCCAGCAGCCCAGTGAGGAATGGTGGCCGGAGGGTCTGTGCTGGCTGCTGCGACCAAAAAAGCAGGTGGAGACTTGCAAGCTGGCTAACGCTGGGATAGGACAGAGGCAACTCTACAAGATAAAAAGCCGCTGTCCCTAACATGTCCCAACCAGCCCATCGCCTCGTCAATGGGGTACCGTAATGATACTCTTCGCCTCTTGCAGACAAGCGGTGCCCAGTTCTGTACTTAGTTCTGTTCTGCCAGATCTGAAAGGGAGGATAGATCTGGAATTAACCCCACCGAGTCTGCCAAACTACAGCCAGCCCTTTCATTCCACACATGACATGTAAGGACGCCGTGTGGGGACCAGCGCGGAGCCCAGACTCTCCGGAAGAGACACAGCAGTGCCCTGAGCAGCCAACGGCAGAGAAAGCAGAGCCCAAAGCAGCTGGAAAATCTCACTTCTAATGTGCAAACTGGCCTGGGAAGCACGGATGACTGAGTCTGAAAAGGGGGGATGCAGGGACCCCACCACAGAGAGGAGGGTTCAGGCAGGAAGAATCCAAGAAAAAGGACACTCGTGATTATAAACAGGAAATTCATTTCTCCAGGAGTTAACAATAGTCGGTGCAGAAGAAATAAGGGGCTGACTTCAGCCAGGGTTTGGATAGATCTGTAAATGATGGAGCCCTGTGTGGGCTAAGAGAGTGGGCATTTGCAAGGCCAAGGAGGGCAGCCATGCTTTGTTCCAGGCAGCCCATGCCAGGCCTTTGCTGGGTGGACTTTAAACCTGCCCAGAGTTCTGGGTGTTCGAGCCAAACATTCACAAATGCGGTAAGAGCTTTATGTCTGATGAAAATATCTCTAGAAATGTGAGACACTGAGCACTTAGAGAGGAAGACCTCTGCTTCGTAGAACAGTTCCAAAGACGTGGGTTCAAAAATGGAGCTAAATAAGGAGGACTTCTCCTGAATTCTAGGGGTCATTTAGCAGAGTTTTTGTCCATCTTGCTTTTAAGTTTCAATTATCTTTTCATAAATAAAAATCTAGATTTAGATAGGGTCATAGAGATCACCAAGTTCAACCTCTGTTTTTTGCAAATGAAAAAAAAGAAAAGAAAAGAAAAGAAAAAAGAGGGTAGTGACTCTGCCCAAGGTCTCCTGGTCCATACTCCTCACATTCCAAATCCCGCACTGGTTTCACAGAAAGAGCATGAGGGCTGCAGTCATGGAGGTCTGAGTTCAAATCCTTCCAGCACGTCATGGTTTTGTGATCTTGGGTGAGATACAGCAGGTCCCCAAATAACATTGTTTTGTTCAGTGTCATTGTGTTATAACATTGATGTGATGCTGTAATGTTAGGGTCACACTGGGGTCTGAAGGTCTGAGAAGTTCAAGAAGAAATCTTTCCTAGTCTTTCACACCTGCATAAACTCTAAAGTTCCTCCTCCTCCTCCCCCCTCCTCCTCCTCCTCCCCCTCCTCCTCCTCCTCCCCCTCCTCCTCCTCCTCCTCCTCACCTGAGGATATTTTTTCATTTATCTTCAGATAGAGTGAGAAGGAAGGAGGGAGAGAGAGAGAGAGAAACCTCGATGTGCAAGAGACACATCAACTGGCTGCCTCCCACACGACCCCGACCAGGGCTGGGACAAACTGCAACCAAGGTACTTGCCCTTGACCAGAATCAAACCAAACTCATTGGTCCATGGGCGGACGCTTTAACTGCTGAGCCAAACCAGCCAGGGCAACATGTTCTTCTTCTTAATGGTCCCGGATAAACCCTTCACTTAGAGCATCGGTCGCTTGGGTGACACTGACTTCACTCTTGGTGATTCTGTAGGTCTGGGATGGGAGTCTCAGGAAATTAGTTTTAAAACACTCCCCAGGATTAGACCTCTGGGGTGCAGGGGGATGAACAATCCCCTGTGAGTTATATGGTCTGCATACACAATACTTTCTAAAACAAGCTGAAGTTTCTCCATGCTGTTGGAGCCCACGTTGTAAGAGGACAGCTGTCTTCAGAGAACAGTGAGGAGACATGTCCTGGAGGGAACTCAGGGCAGCCAGGCTGCCTCTGCTAGAAGGTTCCTTGAACAACCAACTTGCAAACCTCCCTCCCCCTAGACAAAGGACCACAGCTAAACATCCCAGCCAGATACAAAGGTATCTTAATCCTAAGGAAAACAAGGAGGTTCCATTTGTCAGCCACTAGTCATTGGCACCAATTCCACACCAAGTTCGGTGAAGAAGGGAAGTTTAGTGCAAAACAGCTAGACTGTGATACGGCACATCTATGAAAATGCACAACTGTAAGCAGCCCTGGGGTGGCGCTGTTCTGTTTCTTCCCCGTCTGCTTTGCACTGTGCTGGTCTGTTCCACTGTGCCTGGTAGGCGCTGTTCTGTGCCAGTCTGTGCCAGTCTGTGCCAGTCTGTGCCAGTTTGCTCTGGCTTGTGCTGGTCTGGTCTGGTCTGGTAAGACATCACCTCTGTTTCAAGTCAGCTAGGGAGCCTGGTGGGAAGGGAAGGTGCAGCCTAGAGCCAGAGGGAAGGGGGCTTATATGCACAGAGGTCCCTGCCCCTGGTCCCTGATTGGTCTGTCCTCATGTAAATGAAGACTCAAATCCCCACAGTTTGATTGGTCCAAAAGGCGCTGTCCTGATTGGTCAGAATAGAGCCACTGGTTGATGGTGCCTGCAGCTCTGAGTAGATGGGGAAAACCTCAGTCTTACTGGTTGACACAGGATTCCAGGAACTTCTTTATAAGGGATGGCTCAGGTGGCAGAAACAGCGCAGACAGGCAGTTCAGGGCGGTTCTCTCCTTGAAGTGCTGTTTGCGGGAGGCGGCCTGTTTTTGTTGTTTTTAATGTGAGGCCAGTTAGCCACCAGGAGCCCTTGGTAGTAGGTGTCTTTTTTCACCGGTTTTTGCTTCTTCCTTCATCACTCTTTCTAGGGTTTGGCATCCTTCACTGTCAAGAGAACCTTCTCGGTATCCACCTGCATAATTCGGTGAATTTATCTGTCTGTGCCTCACCTTTGGGGTGACTTAAATGACAGGACACCTTTTCTTTTCTGAGAGAGAAGAATGACATTTCTACGTGCCAGGCCCTATGTGGGTAGAAACTTTACCAAAAGTTCTTCCCTGAGGACCACTCTGTCTCCAGGAAACAAGAGATACACTATCCTCTTAATGATAAATATTACCCTTGCGGGGCCCCTGAGAGCCCCTGTCCCCAACAGTAGATGTCACTCTGCTCATTTCTCCCCCTTCATTCTCCCAGGCACCTCCCCTGGGATTGGACACGGTGAGGAACAAGAAAGGCCAAAGCCAGGGTGCTCCGGTCTGCCCACTAGTGCCAGTGGCATTTTACTATTTTGCCATAAACTAAGAAAGTTTAGAACTAATGGGAGCCTCAGAGATAAGCAGGTCAGACTCATTCACTCTACACAGGAGGACTTTGCCCCTACCTACCTTTCCACATCTGCATGAGATATGAACTTGACCTTCCCTGCTGAAGGCAGCCCGGAAACCTGGATGCTGAACCTCCATTCTCCTTCCGGAGGTGGTGGTAGCTCCACCTCCCCTGCCCCAGGCATTGCCGGCAGCCCCCCGCCCCCACTGCAGGGCTCCCTCGTACCTGTCCCGCAGGTGGCCGCTGCGCAGCCCCAAGGCCGTGCACTCGGCCTGGCTCACCGACACCCCCTTGCAGGACTTGACCGGGTAGATGCAGAGCTCGGCCACGGTGCCCACCTGCTGCAGCCGCCGGCGCCGCCTGGGCCTCGCGCGGCGCCAGAGGACCGTCCCCAGCGCCACCGCGGCCAGGCCCACCGCGGCCACCCCCAGCCAGGCGGGTCTGGGCAGCGCGGGGCGGTGCGGCACGACGGAGCGGGCCTGGAGCAAGGAGCCCACGGCGCCCATGGCCGGCGGTGCGGGCAGTGGCGGGAGGAGCCTGCGCCCGGGAGCTGAAGGGCGGGCGCGGGGAGGAGCCAGAGTGACCCAACTGGGGCCGGGACACCCTGGCCGCGCGCGCCGCGGTGGCCCAACCGGTGACGCGCAGGGAGGAAGAGTGCGCGCGCGTAAACGCGGTGGCAGCACCACGCAGCCCGGGGAAATCGAGGCAGCGTGCGGCCGGGTACCATGCGTCCCTGGGAGGCCGCTGTGACGCTCAAAACCAGTGGGCTGACCTCCTGCCTAATCTGGGCTGGTCACTTTCACTTAACTTCTCTTCCCTGTCCCCGATGGTGCGACAGCCACCCACCAGCCCACCCTCACTGCCTCCTAATACTGTCCACTCGGTTGCTTGACTGAGGCACCGTGAGCGATTGTGGCTCGCAGAACAGGAGAGTAAAAACCTCACCCCGGAGGATCCTCTGCGAAGGGCGGACCCTGCTCCCCCCACCCGCTCCCCGGGGACGCGCTCTGCCACCCGGCTCTGGCACCGGCTCTTGCAGCCTAACGCCTAGTCCCCAGGATGACCCTGTTACATAGGACAAGGGTCTCAAGGTCCAGCTCCGAATGTTATTTCTCGCTAAATGTTAAAAAGTAACACAGTATTTTGCAGGTGCAGCAGTAAAGAGAAGGAGCTGACAGGAAGGAAGGTATACAAGCGCCGACCGCAAGGCACGCAGCGCGGGAGCGAACAGGGTATGAGCCTGGCTGAGCTTCCCTGCCAGGGGGCAGAGTTTGGGATGGGAATCCCATCTCTCTTACTTGCTGCAAGTGAATAAAACTACCTTGCCAGGGCCACATCTCATTCTTGATAGAGCACCCTAAGTGGCAAAGTCCTTGAGTTCCACAACCTCAGCCCCCCAACCCACCCCTACCTGAGCAGCTCACTGCTGCCTGGAGGTTTCAGGGTTCTCTTCCTTCCTTCCACTCCACTTGGGAAGAGAGGCCCCCGACTCCCTTTTCTGAGAGCACTTCCCATCAAAGGCTTACAATTATGAGTCCTTCCTGGGCCCCTTGGAGATGGGTCTGTACGGTCTCCAACTCAGAAGTGTCTTTCTCAAGGACCTGGAGCCATTTCTTTGAAATGTAGTCATCAAGAAGGACAGGGCCTGTCTCCCAGTCTCTGGGAGGACAGTCACACGTCCAGTAATTGCCAGCGAGCAGACACGGCTGGCCTAATCCACTTTCGGGGAGTCCCCCGCTCTCCTGGCCTTACTCCTGGATCCTCCCTTGACAAGGTGGGTCATCTCCGGACAGATCGGACGGAGCTCAGCTCTCTCCCGGACTGTGAGTAGTTAGTTACTGAATAAAATCTTTTCACTAATGTCTGGCTTGTTTATCTTCCTTTCTTTTCTTTTCTTTTTTATCCTCACCCAAGGACATTTTTGCATTTATCTTCAGATAGAGAGGGAGGGAGAGAGGGAGGAAGAGAGAGAGAGAGAAACGTCGATGTAAGAGAGACACATCAAGTGGCTGCCACCCGCACGACCCCAACTGGTCCGGGGACAAACCGCAACCAAGGTCCGTGCCCTTAGCGGGAACCGAACCCGGGTCTCTCTGGTCCACAGGCTGATGCTCCAACCGCTGAGCCAAACTGGCCAGGGCTCTTTTTCTTTGTATTATTACTTGTTTATTTTTTCTTTATTTTATTTTATTATTGTTTTTCCATCACGGCCTGTTTCTCTTTCGCAGCTGCACTCAAACAGGCTATTTAGTGAACAGTGGATTATCTTAGACAAGTTCAAGTGTGAGGTCATTCGTTTATTTTTCAAACATTGTCCTCTATGCTTTGGCCCAGTTCTCGGAGAGCTTAAGGAGGCAGCCAGTGGCCACCTCTCAAATCCGGATCGGTCACCAGCTGGAAAATCGGGGGGGGGGGGGGCGGAGGAGGAAAGGGAGCCAGAACAGTGAAGCTCCCTTTAGTTGTTTCTTTATAAAGTGAAACTCAAAACCGGCCTGAATTTCCCCCCAAACAGCCCGTTTGAAATCCCAGGCCAGTGAAATCTGCCTTTTCAATAAATACACTTTCTCATCATGCTCAGTGGCCAAGACTTGGGCTTCCTCTCCAAGCACGATGTTGAGACAGGGTCTGGGCAGACTCACACCCGACCCCTTTGCCTCGCCGCCGCTGGACGGGCTCAGGGCCCTCCCTCGACAGCCTGCTGTCTGAGCGAACTTACGTACATAACGTGCCAACTTAAAAAAACACAACAAGTAAGTCTCTTTAGGTCCTTCGGGTCCTTGCGCAAAATATATGCTGGGTTTCTGTGACATTCCAGAATCCCTATGGTGTATCTGAATTTGCATGCCTGTGAGTATCTAGAGTTAAAGTAATAATAATGGCAATAATCATAACACCTTGCATTTTGCAGGACTTTACAGGGTAACGTGACATTCAGTGAGGTGTCTATCTCTAAAGTCCCCATGAAGGCGCACCTGGCTGGCTCAGTCCATAGAGCGTGAGCCTCTTGTCAAGTCCCAATGGAGAGGAGTGATCAAGGTAAATGCACCCCGGTTGAGAATCTGCCTTTGAGCCTTTTAAGGTAGAAAGTCTAACTTTTCAGAGTCCAAGAGTCAGCTGGGCTCCGGGAGAGGACAGTTGCTAACAAGGTTCACAAGAGACTGATGGTAAAGACATCCATGCCATTTTCTTCAGTCACAATCAGAAATACCTCTGCACACCCACAGGCTGATGCAGCCCTGTGACCACTACCTCCTCTTCCCCCAGGGAGAACACCCAGCTCACCTGGTGACTGGGGCCAGCCAGGAGACACACCCGGATTGTGTTAGAGTTGGGGGTCTGTGGTCCGGATACCCAGCCCTAGAAATTCTGACCTGAGAGCCCAGAAGGCCCCGAGGGAGACAGGTACAGCGACAGACTGTTGTCCAGTCATCCTGCCCTGATGTGCACTGGACGCTGGTTTTCAGTCTTGAACAGTGACCGGGGACGAGTCTCTGATCTCAAGGATCCAGGAGCCTGTGAGGAATTCTATCAGTAAACAACTAGGTTACTAGGAGAAAGCAGCTGGAAGAGGGGAGGGGAAGGGGGCTCTTGAAACCCACTGGACACTGGGTGCCCACTGCAGACAAAGACGCCGAGGCCAGACTGACGAGGGACATTTTGCTAAATGGAGGCGGGGGGTTGGGGGGGTGGGGGAGACAGAGAACCAGCTGAATTCATTACAGGCTCAGAAGCAGAGGGCAAAGTCTGGGTGTAGGGAGAGGACTGGGAATAAACAGGACCAGATGGGAGAAAGAATTACACTGTGTAGAAAGGAATGTGGACTTCATCCAGAGGATTGGAAAAAAAAACCGAGTAACATCATTTACTGATAAGAAGAGAAACTGGGTGGCTGGGAACACGGGGGAGAGGCGGAAACTTTTCAGTCCTACACACATTTGTACCTTTTCATTCTGAACCATGAGAATTATTCTTTATTCCCCAAATTCAAAATTATTTTAAAAGATATTTAAAAAGCATCCTACTTACAATCAGTCTGGCTATGTCCTAGGCTCTGGGTAAGCAAAACAGACAGGAAACTTACCCCACCAGCTTCTAATCTGTGAGGTGTTTTCAAAGCTTTATATTTTTGGGTAGATTTCAAAAGGTATATAAAGACATAATTGTAACATATGCAAAGTGATTGTTATACTAAAGATATAGTATATATCTCTATATATACTGTGTAGAGAGGGGGTAGGCAGCTTACTATGCCTAAAGGCTTGGGGAGGTATATGTCAACAGGGTTTTGGTGGGAGGTAACATGTGAACTGGGTTTTGAAGCCTGCATAGGAGTTTTTGTTTTTTTTTAAGGGAAAAGTGAGGAAGAGCACTTTAAAGAGAAATAAAATCTTCTGAAAAAATCTGACGTGTACTTGGAGGGAAATAGTTTGGAGTGGGGGTCAGGGCAGCATAGGAAATTGGAGGCGGTGGGGATTTCAGGCAGGATGAGGCCAAATTGTCCAGGCTTTGCATGTTGAAATAAGGAATATGAATTTCTTCCCAAAAAAGTTCAAATACACCCGCATGGTCATTGGTATTCTGGAAGCTGGTGAATATGTACCTTCAGGGTAATTGATTTATTTTCCCAAATAACAGGGGAGAAAACATTAACAAAAAGAATTTTTGTATTTTGAGTTTCCCTCCCATACTTTGACCTGAAACCTCCTAGAAAACAAAACAAGAACAGCCAGTGTAACTCACTGGTTGAGCATCCTCCCCAAGCACCAGGAAGAAACCCGTGGATTGCAGGCTCGATCCCCAGTAGGGGGCATGCAGGAGGCAGCCCATCTATGTTTCTATCTCTCCCTCTCCCTTCCTCTCTTTGAAAACAAAAATATATCTTTTTAATGAAGTAAATTAAAAAATCAGGATAACAACAAATATAAATGGGAAGCTTTTTCTTTTTCCTCCTTGTCAAATATGTTCATAGTTGTGACTTTCCTATTTTCTATATATAACATGTTCCTGTTACCAAGACGATTCCCCGTTTATGAGTCAGGATCAACTAGTATTAATGTTTCATCTTTTCCATAGAAATCAAGGCTTCCTGGGGGTTCGCAGCTTCGAACTTTGGCTTACCTCCTGTTTTCTTTGGCTTTTACAGTTGGTTTTGTTTTTATTTGTCTTTGGTTTTTTTCAATAGGGAAGTTCCTAGCCTGTCTTGAAAAACCAAAATATCTGGTCATGTGAGATCCGTATTCTTCATGACAACAAGCAGCTGGACCTGATGGGAGCCTGTCCCCTGTGAGCATCACCTCCTTCCCCCCGGTAACACCCCATTTCCCTCCCTCCCTGAGTCCAACCCCAGCAGCTCTTGGGTCCATGGGGCCTTTCCCAAGCAGTCGCTCCAGATTTCCACCAGGGGGCGCTGCCACCAGCGTTTTGGAGAGAAGGGCGGGGAGGAAGTGCTGGCCCCTGATTCTTTGGGGCAGAGAAAGGAAGTGCTCCTTTCCTTCCTGCGGAGTAA